TTGATATTCATTTTCACTTCATTCGCTGGATAATTGACAATGGGAAGCTCTGCCTCATCTATTGTCCCACCACAGACATGGTCGCTGATACCCTGACCAAAGCATTGCCATCACCAAAAGTCAAACATTTTGCTGTTGAACTCAGACTGTGTTCGCCTTGAGTTGGAATATGATGTAATCCACACATTGGATGCAGTGAGGGAAACTGTAATGGCTGGATAGTCTAGTGGTTAAGACATCCCCCCAGAGTTGGGAAAGCCTAGGTTCAAATCCTGGTTCTGTCATGATTTTGGAGTTCAATAGGTTATGAGCCCTGTTGATGGATGTGTCACAACCCAAATAACGAATTAACGCTTGGGCAGAGACTAGGACTCAACTAAGGTTATCGGACAAGAGAAAGAGGAGCAAGTACGTCTTGGATTGCTACAGTTGTAGATACAAGAGGTTTGAACTAAAGAACTATCGACCAAGACATGCTACCTATATACAACTATTGAGACGGAGATTGAAACTGAGTTGTAACTACTAGCCAATCATAAAATAGGAAAGAGAATTGTACCATAGAACGTCGTAGAATATTAAAGAAGTATCATGTGACCATATCTTATTGTATCTAATCTAATCTATTCACAATCAAAGAACTCGTCTTCTTCATCAGTCACATCAAAGACACGTGTCGTGGGCGCTAAAGGTATTTCGGGAATGATAGACACTTTCAGGGTAGGGTTAGGGTTTGACTTAGGTGTTGTGTATTGGCGCTTAGGAAGATTTAGGAAAGAATAATGGTTTGTTAAAGGTACTCATGACAGGATGTGACCTTAGAAATAGGCACAACTTCCGCTGAGACCCAAAATGGCACCTTGTAATCCCTGTGTGGATTAAGGGGGTGTGTTGAAATATGATGTAATCCACACATTGGACGCAGTGAGGGAAACTATAATGGCTGGATAGTCTAGTGGTTAAGACATCCCCCTGGAGTTGGGAAGGCCTAGGTTCGAATCCTGGTCCTGCCATGATTTTGGAGTTCAATAGTAGTAGAGTAAGCAGGCAAAGAGAGCTTGACTTGGCAAGCTTAATGTCAATGTTGAGGATGATACACAGAGGGAAGGAAGCTCTACCTTGATGTTGGTGAGCTTTAATGTTGAGAGACAGGATCCATAGGACAGAAAGCTCAACACTGAGGACCTGGACATCAACATCAAAGAGGATGTGCAGGAAAGAGCTCAATGTCAACATTAAGGATGATACGCAGAGGAAAGGGAGCTCTACCTTGATGTTGGAAAGCTTTAATTTTGAGGGACAGGATCCATAGGACAGAAAGCTTGACATTGAGAAGCTGGACATCAACGTCAAAGAGGATGCACAGGAAAGAGAACTTGACATTGGCATCAACATCAAGGACAGGAATAACTGGTTAGTGAAATATCCCAGTAGTACCAAAAAACACTTACATTATTTGGGGCAGTAATTAATGCTGGTGTTGATATATACCTCCAGCAGTACTTATGCCTAAGGTATTATATATTTATTTGGGGCAAGGTTTAATGCTGGTGCTGAGATTTAACACAATTAACTATTCTAAGCCTGGGTGAGACACTTAGTCGCCCACTATTGTAAGCCTTACTTATTGGGCAACCCAGGTGTGTTAAGGTAGTGGTATTGTGACAAATGTGATGAAAAAATGACAAAACACAAAAAATGTAATAACTATTGATCAGGTGCCTTCTGCGTCAATTGCATACTCACTTATCTCAGTAATAATATTGCAAACATTTTATGCTTTTCAAAATGAAGAGAAGTGAAGTGGAAAGCTTGTTATTCCAATTTCTTAGATTACTGGAAGCAGCTGTTAGTGGCAAAGTACTATTATGCATCATACTCCAACACAATGTGCCGTGAAGCTGTTGTCATCCATAGACAACAGAACATGCAAACAGAAATGCTCAAGGGACAACCTGAAGATAGCATGGGCTCACAGAGCATCTATGAGATCCACAAGATTTATCAATGCTGCTTAAGCCAAAGTCTGAGAAAATTGTGGTTTACTGATGAATGATGTTGGCTGTTTTATACTGTTCTGCCACCTCATTCATGCTATTTTTACACAAATTACAACCTCTTGACAATGACAATCATTGCACAAGCATCTTTACCAGCTAAGTGGACTGAGCATTGACAAATGAAAAATGAAAAATATAGTGCAAATATAGTATACAAATGTCTGCATTTGTAATGAAGGGACATGAGTACTAATAAAACCCAATGACCAAAGGCCATCACTTGTAACTACTTTAGACTTTAAAAGATCTATCTATGTGTGAATGTCCGTAAATGAAAAATGACTATTGAAGAGGTACCAAATTTCTGTCCTGTCATGCTTACCACTTGGCTGAGACTGGTCAAGATGGACATCTACGAATCACACAATCATTTGCCTACGCAAAACGATCCGAATATCCCGCCCAGAACTTCCTCAACACCGACATCTAGTCCAGAAACAGAACCAATCGCACGAGCTGCATAACGTAGGGACTCCGCGGCGATGTCCACTTCCGAAGGAGCTGTGAGGTCGAGCAGACATTGACATGATACATCAATGAAGCATAACAAATGTACTTACAGAAGGCGATGAACTCTTCCAAGTGCATGACAGCTCGCTCAAGAATATCTCTATGACGGGCATGCGTGATAAGTGGGCTTGTGTAGTCGAAACCATCGCTGTATCTATTAAGGAAGGTCAGTATGGCCATACAGCCAGTAGATATCGGACCTGTGTAAGGTACCTTGATCGTAAAACCTGTGCGAGACCATCCAGAAACGATTGGGTACCCTCTGATGTGCGAAGACTCGCTGTCCAGAACTGAGGTTGTCTGCTGTGATCATAGTTATCGCCATACTCCGTGAAAGTGAGAGACTGGTTGGGAGGAAGGCTCGCGATAGTATCAGACTTGTTCAACAAGAAAAGGGTATCTAGTTTCAGGTGGCTCTTAACCTCATCCGGGACTCGAACGAGGGCATTGTCCCGGGACGATAAAACATCGGGAAGAGATAGAACACAAAGAGACAGATCAGCCTCCTTGACACTGAGCGAATCGTTAACGAATGGGTAGTGTAATATGACTTGCACATACGCGTTACCCGCACGACCCACCCCTACCTGCTCTACAGTTTCCAGTGTTTCTCGCAGGCCAGCAGTGTCGCTCAGAATAACAGGAAAGCCTCCGATGTCCAAAGTGAGCGTGAGTACGTCACGCGTAGTTCCTGGAATGGGTGATGTGATGGCCGCATCACGCTGAGCTACAAATCAAGGATTCGAATTAGTGTCTGAAAAAGCGCAACTTGAAGGACATGCCAAGAAAATTGAACAAGCTACTCTTGCCAGCATTCGGAGGTCCAAATATCACAAGTTTTATTCCAGAGCGCAGAATCTCCCCACGGCGGTTGTCATGCAAGTGAGATCGAATGCTGTTGATGATATTCAATGCACGATCATGAGCTAATACCATTTCAGATAAAATTGTGAATGAGCCTGTAAAGGACCTGCCTTCTTTAATCATCGCTTCCTGTCCAAGTTCGTCCACGTCCTCGCCAAAATCGATAAAACCTTCAACAAAAACCAAACATTCTAGTATCTGTGACCTTAGTGCAGCATATCGCGCCCTCGCAACCCCCTAGGAACAGTAAGTTATAATTCCCAAGCTCAGTAATAACCCCTACCTCAGCTCCGCTGATAGCAATCCTTCTTTGAGCTTCTGTTTCAGCATCTATCAAGTCGCGCAAACCCTCGACTTGGGTGAGATCAAGCCGGCCACCCTCGAAGGCACGTCTGGTAAATTCGCCTGGGGCAGCGGGCCGACAATATGGCAGTTTAGCAAGGGCACGTAACACTGCAGAGAGCACTGCGCGCCCAGAGTGGATGTGAAGCTCAACAGTATCTTCCGTGGTAAATGATTTTGGACCTAATGCACATAACCTAATATCCCGCGACCTACAGCAAATAATAAGAACTCACCCTTGAAGAAAACAGTTAAACTGTCGTCGAGTTTCTCTTCGGTCTCTGGGTCGACGACGTGTCTCCGCTGAAGCATCCATGGTATTAGTTTGTCCCCAGATTTAACTTTGCGTGTCACTCGGCGCCAGACGTCAAGGGCGTCGGGTCCAGAAACCCGAATGATAGCGATACCTGCTTTCCCAGGTGGAGTGGAAAGTGCGTATATAGTTCGACGCTGCGCATCAGAAGGCGTGGGCTCAGACTTGGCGGAGAGAGTTGTATGAGTATCACTGGCATACCCGGTAGCATAAAACCGGGATAATGACCTGTTGATGCGGTGTAAACTGCAATTCCCGGGGGAACTTCTATGTAGAACGACCGATGGAAGGTTTGGGATCATCAGGGAGTTATTTTCCCGAAATTGAATCTGTCTCCGCTGTATCCGTGAATCCTTTACAGCTTTCTGAATGATATTGGCTCGCCATTGCCGCAACATTCACTGCCCTTGAATTCTAGCTCACCGTCAGTCGCGGCTGGTACTAGTATGATGAAAGACGCGTGCTGCAAAGACTTACCGTAATTTCTCACGACTACAGATTAATACAGCTTGTCCTTACCTCTCATCACCGAGCACACCATCTAACCGACTAATCCCACCCTTGTTATACAATCACATAGATTGCCCAGTTTAATCAGGAGCCATGGGTCAAACACGTTTGTTTATCAGATTTCCCATGACACATTCATCTTCCACTCACCCCGCGATGAACAGCATCACAGTTCATGGAGGATATGCAGAAGCGATCCAACTGTGCGTTCTGTGTTTCGAACCACTTCTGCTCTGCGATACTCATTTGACTGTGCTGCACAGTCACATCCGCTGAGCTGGAAAGATTGAAGAAGCGCTTTATGAAGCTAGACAGGTCTATATCATTTCGTCAATTGACCATCCTTGCTACCGATCTTACAATGCATATACAGTGATGGCTCGGGCTCCATAGATCGGGAAGAATTTTTGCAAATACCACAAATAGCTACCAACCCATTGGCCTCAAGGATGATTGCAATCTTTGACGAAGAGTGCGTCTCCAGAGTTCTGTGGCCGAGTCACAATTTAATTCTTGCACAGTGGAGGAGGCACTGTAGACTTCCAAGAATTCGTGGGTGGATTGAGTGCATTTAGCAGTCGAGGAGGGCGAGAAGAGAAGCTACGATGTGCGTCTCCCATTTTGGTTCATCAGCATGACCTCACGTCATGATATCAAGTCGCATTCAAGGTTTATGATGTGGATCGAGATGGTTTCATTTCCAATGGAGAGCTGTTTCTGGTATTGAAAATGATGGTTGGAAACAATCTCAAGGTCTGTATGCGCTTAATTTTGGAACTTCTTGTAATCATTTCTTTGAAACAGGATCAACAACTACAGCAGATTGTTGACAAGACGATCATGGAGGGTGATCTAGATCGTGATGGAAAACTTAGCTTTGAAGAGTTTTCCCAGATGGTGTCAAACACGGTTGGTAACATTTCTCTCGCTTCATTGCTGATGCTCAGTCTTTTTGCCTTTAGGACATTGTCAAGCAGATGACGCTTGAAGACCTTTTCTGACAGCTTCAGCGCCAACGGGCACTCATGTCCCCTCATACCCCGCTGTGACTATCACGCTCGTCTGCTGCATCATTATCCATTCATCATATAGTGGCAACTTACATGTAGTATCGCCTTTGTTGTAGAGTATAAGCTTCGTTTTCAGATCAGCATAACATAAATCATGGTACGTGAAAGTGAGATTCAAAAGAATCAAAGTTAGCCTGCATTGAGTCAGACACTAAAACTAAGCACAACTCATGAGAGAGAAGTCTTACTCAGTTGACTCTCCAGTACGTCTCATCGCAGCTGGCTTGGTTCACGAAGAGCGTCTAGAAAATTGAATACTGCATACAGATAGCAGATCCACTCTACTTGAAAGCCTGAGGATCATCGTAGATCCTCAAGAGACCACATTTATCCAACGTATTTCGATATTAAAAAGTGCTCCTGCAAACCAAACGACATTATAGAAAAATTGAAAGAGAGATACACGAGTACTATTCACCGATGTTCTGACTGTCGTCATGCGCGCTCCAAGATCGCGCCGCTAGGTGGAGCAAGGTAAATCAGCATCTGTCTTGATCGGTTACTCACAGGAAGCTTCAACTGCGGCAGCACCAAAACGCTGCAGCAGTGAAGGCAAAACAAAGGAAGAGCTGTATGTCGCATCGAAATAAAGAAGTTCAAAGAAGCCGCTGGTAACATGACCGAGGGCCCTAGTCGTTATTTTCAAATTCTTAGTATAGGGCCCGGAAACATTGGTACCTTGCTCTTGTGACGTACTTTCCACGCTAGATGTTTGACTGAAAAATGTTGCAGCGCCTTGTAAATTTCGTTTCCGACCTTGGCCAGTGACTAAGTCCCACCTAAAACCATCTTCTCCCGTTGACGGCGACCTGGTCCATATGACTGGTTCAGGGTTTCATTTAAATTTTTTAATGAAAAAACTTACCAGCTACTACCCTCTCATAGAAACTTGCCTCCAACGGAACGAGTAAGTTCGGCTGAAAATTGCATATTGAATTGGTGTCGATGAGCAAATAAGGACCCGGAGCTTTGGGCTGGACATGAAAAGTACGTAAAAAAACGCCATAGATCCTCTCGGATCACTGGTACCGCAATGCAAACACTGCCAGGCAGTTGGCCCAACATGACAAAGTGAGGAGCTTGCCAATGGTGACAACATCCGGGGGTGTTAGACTTGGCGAGGCTGACAACGTTTCCACAATCAAGATGAAGACAAAGAATAAACTCACAACAACACGCAGCACCCACAACGTTACACCAACAAAGATCCGCGTAAACAGAGAGATATCATACAAGTTGAAATTATGCTGAGATATACAAATACATCACACCATCTTTCACTCTTCGTCTGGAATTCTGGATGAATCCGCGCTGGTTCGAAGGGTTGCGAGTTCAATCAACAACGAGGAGTGCACAGGCTCAGACCCGGGCCTTGAGAAGCGCCCTCTCATGTTGAGCAGAAGGCGGTTGCAGAGAAAGGATGGCACAGCAACAGACCAGCTATTAATTTGTTTTAGAAATGTAACACACAGGGAGACAGAAAGAGACCCACGGCATGAAGAGGTTGATATAGGAGGGATATCGAGCCCAGACAATAGTTGATCCAACGAGTTCCATGAATATTCTGTAGATGGTAAATGATCAAGTACACCTAGAAGGTGACGGACGTACACGAGAAAGTATAATAAACTTGAGTAGTCGTCAGCAATATGTCAACAAAGATGATAACTACCGACCTATCACGGGCCAAAAACGTTGCAAGTTCACTGCGTTGTTGTCGGTCCAAAAAAACTTTCTTGATGACGAGTGTGCAAATGATAGGTTCGAGGATCAGCGCTGGCGTCCAAAAGATTGCAGAGAGTGGGGCAAGACCGTCAAAGAGACAGCCCGCTGGAGTAGAAACTACCGGAAATTCTAGTAGCGGTTCATTGAGTCAACCCTACGATGAAGATAGCCAGACTCACTTTCCACGCGAGTAATCGTCAAGCCAATGAGGAGCGCCATCGTTGCGATCTCAATTATACTCAGGACAATCATCCAAAAGAGTACCCTGCGATTTCGGTTGTAAATTGCCCACACCTTGAAGGATGTTAGTTGTCGACTTTTCGTACGAAACCGTTGAACTCCCTCTAAGCTGCAGTATTGCTGATACAAATAAAGGTTCAGCGGTGGCGGTTGTGCATGGGCTGTATACTTACTTTGAACAGATATGGTCATAAGGAGTGCACTGTCGAATCATGAGTAAGACATCGAGAGAAAGTGACCCGCGACTTACATGATATTATTGCATATCAGGTAGGTGACACAGCTAGGCCAGAGGACGTCAACCTCATGGATGTCATAGTAACACAAACATACGTCTTGATGAATGGTTAGCGTAAAACAGTGGAATGTGCCAAAAGAATCACTTTGGATGATATCGCGTTATATGGGTTTTGTCGTACTTTGAATGCTAGTCAACAGAATCAGCAGTGATCAATACCCCATACTCACTTATGTCGAATGTGAGCCATAACACTGGAAGCCAGCGGTTCTCGAGAGCGTATTAGCGTAGTACACATTCTTCTCCATCATACAAGACTCACAAAATGATAGAGATATGTCACCCAACTTTTCTTCTTGAACCAGATCAAATCAATCTGCCAAGCCGTAACTTAACAGCTGTGGTCGCTGGAACCAGGTTGACAGTTTACCTCGTCCTCGATGGTAATGACTAGCAGAAATGAGGGTCAGCAAGTAAAACGTATCAGAAAACTCCTCACTGTGTTCGTAAATGAGAAGTCCCAGCGCTGCAATTCGTGATTGCTTCCCGATGATCACTAGTTATCCATCAGTAAACAGCCCAAGAAACGAACCACAGTCACCAACAAGCTCGCCAAGCAGACAGAGAAATCAAGGTAGTGTCCGACATGAATTAAACGGTTGGAAATATCCGTAGTATAACATGAAGCAAAGCAGGCTTTAAAACTCGGTACGCGAAAAACAAAGGCTCTGCTCAGCCGCAAGGCAAACATATGTGGTCATTGCCTGATCGCAGCCCCAATCCGGTTGGATTCAGTATAGATAAACGGACCCGATTACGTAGCGGGTTCTCGCTCCAAAATGTTCAAAATTGCCGGCAGGAAAATCCTGAAGCTTGACTAATACTGTTCGTGCCGAGTCCTCGAGGCAGGTCACCGGCAACTCGGGACAGTGCTTTCACCAACCTCAACACACCAAGCATGACTGTATTGTGAGCGGAGAAGTGTACGCCGGGAACCTTGATGACATTTGCTGTGCGAATTTCGGAAGCGTACGATAATTGCAGCGATCGATCGAAAAACTGATTAACTGTTCAACTTGGCACATGCTTCCAGGACCCTGACTAGGAACACGGCATAATGTAAGCAAATGCTGCTACTATCTCAGGCCAGGCCGAAAATAGTTGCATAATTTTTTCGGAGGATAGATACGAGCAGTGTGGGCGCATGCACATGTGCCGTTGATACCGTTTTCAATAATCGGTTGAGGGTTGATTGACACTGCTTCAATGGCATCCAAGTTCCTGCTCCGCCACCAGTTCACATTCGCGATTACCTCTTTACTTTTTTACCCTCCTAAAGAGCAGTTCATAATGAGCAAACGCGGGTAGGCCATATATAGGAACATCCTTACTGGCCCACTCTCGGAGATATCCATCTCGTCATCGCACTCTCTTTTCAGGGTAGTCACGGTGGAGTCCATATCCATTGCACCTTCATCTCGCGCAAATTTATCGGACCCCGAAAATTGCCTGGGGATAGAGCAACGCCATGTACTTATCTTTGAATCCTCGCCTCCCGTGACAAGAATTTCATGCTGTGTTACCGATGAGCACTAGGTATCACCGCACCAAGAAAACGTACGTTTTCATCCCAGAAGACTGAACGGACAACACCAGTGTGTCCCTTGGCCCATACCGAATTGATTGTCCATGGTGCAGATGAGTCTGTCACATCTGAGCTCGAGAGAAGGGCCACATCACCCCTGTGCGAAAGTGTTAAATTGCGTATTACAATCATGATATGTCACATACTCGTTCGAACCAACAAATACAGCGAGGTTGCTGTCAGACCGTTTTGTGTTGTGACATGTTATCAGGTAGTCGGTAACCCAAGTTCGCCCATGGCTATGAACGGAGGGGTGGCGAATGTCACAGTTCTGCAACATGTCAAGCTTTGTGCGGCATCATGAGGAATAATTAGATCGATGAGTGGTTGGAATGTACCTCATCTGACCAGCAGCTGAATGTCTCCATATCGCTTGCAGTCCCAGACACGATTGGTGGACGAGCCGCGGATCCATCCTGCTTGAGATATGCTACAACCCCAACTGCCGACGTTCAGAACTGCTTCATCCTCGTCATCTTCCGCAGAATTTGACGTGCTAATCAGGCCATCAGTCGAAGCTGATAGCAAGATCTGTCCAGATGTTGGAGACGGGCAATTTTTCAGAAAGTGCACTGCAGTAATGTCGTCCGAATGTGTTGAACTGTGAACACGGAGTGGTACAGCTGGGTTTCGAGGGTCCCTTTGATCTCACATTGAAGTTCACAGCCTTGTAAAGAATATCAGGACCTACCAGTAAAGTATAAATGCGTCCTCCTTCTGTAGGTCCGTCCCCGCAGCAACGGTCAAGCCATCATGAGAAGCATCACAAGACAAAACGGCACGAGGTCTCCCAGATGTCGTCACTAGTTATCAACAATACTCTTGAGTTGTCAAACGCGGAGGTCCAGTACCAGTGGTAAAGTATGGAAAACATACTTTGTGTGGTCGGAGCACCAGAACGTTCATCCCAAGCAATCACACAGCCATCCTTACCAGCAGATAGGAGTGTGTGCCTATCAGACCCACCGATACTTCTAACGGTTCGCAAGGCTGTGATGGCCTTTTGGTGGCCTTTGAGGGTCTGAACGCATTTCAAGGATGACTTGTCAAAAAGATGAATTGCATTTGACGGAGCAGAAGCAGAAGAGACGTAGTAATCTCCCAGCGATGTTAGTGCAAGAACGTAGCTTCCATCCGGGTGAGCGGTGGACTTTATTTCTGAGGAGATTGTCTCGAATGAAGGAGACTCGAGCAACGACATGACTGCACTTTTGAAGTCGAAGACGGTCCAGACCACGTGTAAATTAAGATCACGTCAGCAGATTATCTAGCCCTCACTATGTACAAACTTTCCCTCGTCATCGTCATACCTTTATTTCTTTACCACCACCTTGCAATTGCAAGCGCCTAGATCCTGTTCCACCGCAGCTCTTTTCTTTTTGAACAAAACACCCACGCTCTTTTCAATCCACAGTCTTTTCGTCGATTCCCTCTGAAGATTCTCAAACCTGAGAATCTATTCGCCCAGACCAAGAACAAGCATTTCACTTCATTGCTTTCTAGTTTATTCCCACTTTCAACATGACTCGTAGGGGTGAGTTCTTAACCGCTTGGATCTCGCGTGCAAAGACTCAACCCATCATACAGCTCCTCGTATCCACCGTCTCCCTCAGCGTCTTGACTACAACCTGATTCCTGCGCCTTTGGGTGCGTGTGAATCCATAACTCAAGTCGCAACATTAATCAAATTATTGCAGATCTATCTCTTCCGCTGGCTACGGAAAAGTCTTCCTTGCCAGCCATCATCGTGACCCCATCATCTCCAACAGCCGACGCACCCGAGTACTACATAGCGTTCTTAAAACCACCCCCTAAGCCTACGTTTCGTGAGCGCATCTCCGAGTATTCTCCTTTCCAGCCACATCTGCCCTTGAAGGCTCGGAGCGCTATCATCGTCTCCCTTATTCTCTTCATTCTGATGTGCCACCTGCTGGTGCACCTTGCTGTCCGCCGTCCACACTTCGATTTCATCCCATCCTCTGATAATATCTCGTCGCTCAAAGCAAATTATCATCAGGCCCAAAATTCGTTCTTGGACTCGTTTGCTTTAGATCTCAAATCTTTTTGGAGTGGACCAGTGGCTGGGGACACGCGAAATTTCATAATTGAAGATTTTTCACAGCCAGCCCATCGGTAGATGTGGCAGGTTCGCCATCTTTCAGTACACAGACCTTGATACAAGTCTATGCAACCTTCCCATGCATCTACTGACAGTCATGTATCAAAGTTACCTTTGACCGAACTGACTTGTTTACAGTCGCATTACATTTCTTTCGTTTATATTTATCTGGTTTTGGAAGTTGACATGTTTAGCTAAAGTCCTCCCTGTATCGTGATAACTACACAGGAAGCTCTTTGATTTGTATTCAGTACCTGGACCATTCTACACAGCGACATCAGGTCCGTGATACCCTGATTGTATGTTTGCTAGGTTCGACGCCTGTCCAGTTAAATTCCCATGTATCGGCAACCAATGCATTGCCCTCGAACAATTTATCGATACTTCGGTACTCTTCACGTTTTCTCGTAGTAAGCCATGTCTTCTTCAAGTCGAAGTCCTTCGGTGACACAATACCCTACCCTAACAGTCTTGCATCTCTCGGTGAGAAGCAGAACGTGGATAACATTCACTCAGCCAGCCCACAAATATGCTTCGAATCAAAGTCCAAACGTTTCTGTCGTAATTATTGTGCCTTACTCACGCTCGCTTCGTTTTTCGTGTGTTACAGCTGTCTTGGAAAAGGTCTCATTAAGTATACGATGATGGTGTTGCTAACATCAAGCATGACCCACTTGCTTCCTCGGCTAGTTCACAACATTCTCCCCACTTCCGCTATTTGGACAGCAGGATTGAACATGTCTCTAACAGCTAGAAGCCATGGCTAGATCCGTATCTGAGTATTGCTCATTATCAGTCCTTGGGAACCATCTTGGGGGAATATCGACCCCTTCCTCGTTGCGATGCCCTGTAATCACTTGTCATCAATCTGTGGTGACCATGGCACGCATCTCATTTTCTAGTCATGTGCTTTTGTCATTTGACAGACCTTTTCAATTCCCCCTTTCCCATGATCCCATCAATTATGCCACAATGATTCTCTTGCCATCTCCGTTAGGAGTACCTGTAACTTCAATATAATCTTTATCGTAAGCTTCAGTTGCGACCAATAGCCGTACCACATCACGCGTTGTGGCCATACAAACATTGCGAAGCAGCGATTGTGGTAAGAATGAAGAATAAATCTCCCGCGACTGCCTTGCATCTTCTGTTTCTTCCGCAACCCGTGCCAGATGACTTGAAAGGTGGTGGGCAAGACAACAGCCAAGACTGAAAACAACGGAACCATATGCTTCAACATAGCTGCGCCGGACATATGTCAACTGTTACGTGATATGATGCGTCAAGTAGGAGGCCGACCTGTCCCCCTTACAACAGTGATTGTGAGGGGCGATTCAGAAGCAAGGATCGATATGCACCCCTGACGTGCTTAATTCAGTGGCGCTGTCACTTCGTCTACTCATTGTCATAAGACCAGAAGAACTCGTTTTGCAATCTTTGGCGATGATGGCCACCGTCACCTCCGAATTGAATGTGACTCTGGAGAACACCAGTCCTGCAAGTGTTCAACCATCGCCCACTGGAACTGTTGCATATGCTCTGTATAAATAAGTTCAGATCAAGTTCAGACGAGCATCTGCGCGCATCTAGTCTTACAGATTGTTGCCTATTCTCCTCTTGCCTTGATATTGGGACTTGTTTTTGGAATTATTTTTCTTGTCGCCCTTACCGTAATAATCCAAACGAACTCCACGCTCATTGGTGCCAGCAAGTTGTATCACAACCTCTGTAGGACCTTGGAAACCATAACTACCAAGAACGGCTTCTGTGAGACTCAACTCCATCAGCAACACTAGAAAGACACTCTCGTGCTCCCCTACTTGTGGCAAGGGTATCTGATTGGGGCAGTTCGGAGCCGATGTCTGAAGTGTTATCAGACCCTTTTGCGGCCGAGTCTTTTGCAGTTTCTTTCTTCAAGGACCAGTAAACCTGCACTAAATGACCACTTAGCGGGAGACTCTGTACACTGCGCACCAGCGATAAGTCGGAGTTGAATATTCTTGCCCTGGACGTCGATACATTTGTCGTACTTCCTCCGACTGGTCATTTTCGCAAGAGGCACCTGACGCGTCGGACTGACTGTCAGCAAGACACAAGAGAAAAGCTAACTAGTTTTTCACGCTGATAGTGGGCGTTGGAGAGCTCTGTTAGATGAGGCACGCAGGACTTCGACAGAGTGCCAAGTGGCCTCGTTGGCGTGGGAATAAACGCGGTACTTATATAGAAAGGACGCCGCTTTTGGGTCACTCTATTAATATTGGGGCTATATAGAAACAAGTTGGCCTCGAAAGCCAGTGCCAGTGGTTCTTGCTTTGTTGTCTTTCCAGTTCGTGACCTGCCAGTAGTCATGGATGCGTTATTCATCCCTCTCGCATCTGCTATCGGTGCATCCGTCGACCAAATCAAGGTTGGGAGCAATTTTGCGACATGCATATACTAGGGCTAAAATTTTACCAGCTCATCTCATGTCTACTAATAGCATGCCCCCTAGGAAGTATCTTCATCCGTATACCAGCATCTCAGCCCAATCTCAAGCATCTCTTCAATCTGCTCGTCTCGGTTTTCTTTTTGATACCAGTTTTAAACCTGTCATGGGGTTTTGTTCAGCTATTAGGGAGTGTTCTTGGAACGTATTACATTGCGGCTAATGTAAAAGGCCCCAACATGCCTTGGATAGTTTTCATGTATGTTTACCTTTTTAACCCTGGAAATGCCTGCTCACCAGACTTTTTGTAGCTTTGTAATGGGTCATCTCACAGTCAAGTAAGGGATACATAAGTAAGACACGTTTGCACGGGAGGCTGATATATAATCGTTCCAAGCCATATTATACGAGCATTTTACAGCCTAAGCTATGAAACCTTCGAAATTACAGGTCCTCAGATGGTGCTGACTATGAAACTCACAACCTTTGCATGGAATGTCTGGGATGGTAGAACGGCTCCTGAAGTAAGCTCCTACTGCACGCCCACGAATCTTTTGAACCTGAATTATACAAATTTAGAATCTAGACAAATGGCAACTTCAAAAGCGTGTCACGAAGTATCCTACACTGCTCGAGTTTCTTGGTTATTCGTGAGTCTTGTTCGATGTGTTTTGTTTCCGGATAACGGATTTTTGTATAGCTTTTATTTCCCGGGTGTTCTGGTCGGGCCATATCTCGACTACGCGTCATACAAGTCCTTGATCGATGAATCACTCTTCGAAGGCAAGCGCAGTCCTAGTTCAACAAGGTCCATTCCAGACGGCAGAAAGCGAGTCGCGTACCGCAAGATGTTGACTGGTTTGGTCTTCCTGGGAATCTTTGTAGTTTTGAGTCCCTCATTCTACTACGGCATCGTGATTACCCCGTGGTTCATGACCCAAGGGTTTCTCTATAGGTCCATCTCAATCTGTTAGATCGAATGCTTTTCTGACGTATTTGGATGCAGGATAGCATATTTCCAATTTTCTGGTTTCATCGAGCGGTCTAAGTACTATGCGATCTGGACGCTCACAGAGGTGCGCTTAATGTCCTGTCGTAGGCGCAGTGCTAATACAGGCGATCAGGGTGCCAGTATCCTGACCGGATTAGGGTTTACTGGGTACGGGCCTTCAGGCCAATCCACATGGGAAGGTGCCGCCAACGTTAAAATCCTCGAGATCGAGTTCCCTTCAAACTTCAAAGTTCTACTTGATTCATGGAACATCAACACGAATATCTGGCTCAGGGAATGTATATACAAGCGCGTAACCCCCAAAGGGAAGAAGCCCGGGTTCCGCAGCAGCATGTTGACTTTTGCGACGAGCGCCTTCTGGGTAGGTGCTTGGGTATACTACACATGACCTATGCTGAGTTTGTCGTAGCATGGCATTGCGATAGGCTACTACCTGACTTTCTTCTTCGGTGGATTTATCACTACCGCAGGCCGCCTCTGCCGTGCCAACCTACGTCCATTCGTCCTCCCCCCTCCAGGAGCACCCACGACCATCACGAAACGCATTTACGATTTGACAGGAACTTTCGTCAGCATCCTCATTCTCAACTACGTGGCAGCGCCATTTATGTTGCTACATTTTACCGATTCTATCGAGGCTTGGCGTCGGCTCCATTGGTATGGCTTTTGGATCATTGGCTCGACACTTGCTTTCTTCTGGCTTGGTGGCTCTGCTTTCTTGAAGGCTCTGCAGAAGAAGGAAGGAAAAGTCGCTGAGAAGGTCGTGACACAGGAATCTCACGTCATGCCACCACCTCTAGAAGATGTAGCAGAGGAGCTGAAGGAATTGCAGCACATGATGAAGGAGTAGGCCGAGCTTGCGTACTTATCTAGACGAGCTCCGACAATTGATACGTTCAATCAATATTTTGCATAGCGTCTCGAACTTCGGGATCATATTTCGGCCCTAAATATCGCATTTCTCAAGTACGACCTTCTTAGTAGAGACGTGCGCTTGGACATAAGCAATGCATAGGTGGGGCATACAGAGCTCAAAAGATGAAAAAAAATGATGGTTTGTAGTATACCCATAATGCATATGTGACCACAAGAGGTTGCGACGCCTTCCGCTGCCACCAATGAATATTTTGTAAGCTTCTTATACTTTGAAGCCACGAGACTTTCGGCGACCACGGGCCCGCTCGAACTGAAGGAAATGAATTAGATATGAACAACATCATATAACGATCAACACGTACTTTGCGACCCTTGGAAATGGTGTAAGGCTTCTTGTTCTTGTGGGGACCCATGCCAAAGTGCTTGACAGCCTCGCGAGTGTTTCTCTTTCCCCGGAGCAACACAGTGTTGGACCCTGTTGGTGCGCGAAGTGCGAGCTGATCCAGCGTCAATGCCTCACCACCAGCATTGAGAATGCGCTCCTTTGCTGCGCGCGTGAAGCGTAGAGCAGCAACTGAGAGTTTGGGCACTTCGACGAGACGAACGTCATCGGTTACAGTGCCAACCACCACGATAACTTTTGAGTCACGATCAGGAGTGGCAGTGGTTTCTTTAACAATTCTTGACAAAGAGAGGGGAGGACGGTTGATTTTCGAGAGGAAGAGGCGGTGGAGAATAGCCTGAGTAAAAACCACGCTTCAGTCAAACGCCCGAACCACACGTAAAACTATTCGACCTTGTTGAAATCTGAGTCTGTGCGGCGAGCCAAAAATCTGTAGAGCTGAATAACATTTAGATTGAGCTTTTGTGCATACTGAACATACATACTTTGACGAGCAAAAGGAGGTAAGGATCCTCGCTTTTGGGGGCCGTCCGCTGGGCTTTCTTGACGTGGTGTGCCTTGAGGTCGATACCCTAGTAGGATGCACAGATCAGCATAATTTCTGGGTGCTGTTAGGGACCGCGAGCTCACCATCTTGATCTTGCCGATTTGTACTGTTCGGGGACGGTGTACAGACAACAACGGGGGCTTGAAGAACTGTGCAGGACAAGCAAATAAGGTTTGATTTTCGGCATATCGCGGAAGATGAAATTGTTAGACAAACAAGAAACAAACAACGCCAAATTTTTCTTCAACTTCAACTACCATGGTGCGTCCGATTTTGGGCGTCAAGCACTTTTTCTAACTTTTCTGTTATTCTGTTAGGATCAATACGGAGAACCAACTGCTCCTTCAGTCGACCCTTACTCAGATGCATACAATGCACCAGCACCCACTACTGCATCAGAATCCAGAGACCGAGACGCTGCCCCGCCACGCGGTCGGTCTCGTTCAAGAAGTCCTGGAGCCCGCAGCACCGGTTACCGTAGTCCTACTCAAAAGCGCAGGTCTCCGCCTCCTAAAAAGCCAACACATGCTCCAATTGTACGTTCCACACGTTTCCCTCGTGTTTCGTAAAGCGCTAATGGGGCAAAGAAGGCGCCCAACCCCTCCCAGGTTTTGGGGGTCTTTGGATTAAGCATTAGGACACAAGAGCGGGATTTAGACGAGGAGTTTTCTCGCTTTGGAAGAGTCGAAAAAGTGACAATTGTGTATGACCAGAGGGTACGGCGACTTTTTGTCCATTTCGTTACCCTAACCCACAAAACGTGTTTTTAGTCCGACCGTTCTCGTGGTTTCGGCTTTATCAGAATGTCCAGCACCGAAGAAGCTACTCGTTGCATTCAGGAACTTAATGGAGTCGTACGTTATTCACCTCATGTGTATGCCTTCCTTGTTAATATTCTTTGTAGGAATTGAATGGACGTCGCATTCGGGTTGACTATTCTGTCACTGACAGACCGCACGCACCAACCCCTGGCGAATATATGGGTCATCGTCGTTCGACTAGGGATACTTACTCAGGCTCGGGCCGCGACTCTTATCACCGCGACTCCTACCGTGACTCATATCGTGACCGCGATTATCGCCGCTCCGATCGCGATAAGGACAGGGACCCTTACGGTCGTGACAGCCGTGATTGGCGGGATCGTCGCAGCCCTCGTCGTTACTCACCTGATTATAGAAGGCGCGGGAGCTACTCCAGGAGTCCTCCTAGGGGTAGTAGCCCTCGCAAGGATTATGATGGTCCTTCAGGCAATGGTGCGACAAGCTCCTCCAACCAGGCTGAAAACGGTAGTCGTTGGTGATAGTTCATCTGTCAGCGGAAACCATTTCAAAGGTGTGCAAGTCATGGTCTCTTATTTCAGTTATCGATGGGCGAAAGCATGGACAAGAGGTCTCGTTCGTACAGGCACAAGTGATTGAAGAGGTTCATGGCGGGCATCCTCCAGCAAGCCTCAAGTTGGCAATGTTCTCGTTACTTCCCTATTGAAGAAAGCAAGACATGGTTTCCGAGTTCGCTATTTCAGACAGAAAACCAAGTTCAAAGTTCATTTCATCCTCGACTGTTTGCCTGTATCCGTTCCGCATTTCGTATCGCTCTACTACTTTGTTCTACACTATCAACTTTCGCTTCCATGAAGAGTAGCAAGTCACCGATTGCGATTGCAAGAAAGGTCAGGCACAACAATACTGCATGTAGCGACTCAGCATATGCAGCCAAGGGAGTGTTGGCAGGCTTGTGGAAGGCTTCACAAACCAGGCTGAGCGAAACTTACGTTCACTCATCTTGAACGACTCGTTCTGACATTAATGATTGCTCCATCAGGAGGCTTGACATATATGGCGTTATCGATCAAGAAGCAATTACCAAGTGTATTTTGCGCAGGCGTTTGATTCAACGCAGCGCTTCGTTGTCGGGAATTTCACGAACTCGTCGTAGTGAAAAGTTTGTCCCTACGTCGGATTCGAGTTATTATCGACCATCAGAATGCACCGCTTCCGTTGGTTAGTCACGTGTGCACATGGCGTTGACTCGAACGGCCTGGGCCCTGATGTAAGATGGCACATACCTGATCGGGGCTACTGCAAAACCTTAAACTCCGATTTAAAGTCTCCCCACGGATATCCATTCGTACGTATGACACTACCATACAATCTCGCTGTATATACAAGCACTAACTAATATAAAGTAGTGACCGTCAGAAAATATATGAAAGTGATATATCCAAAATCATGAGACTTGATCAGTGGTGATCCAACTGGTAGGAACAACAAAACGACCTTCAGGTCCATAGACAAGATCGGTACGTGCAAAATGACACTGTTCTGTGGATCTGATGTGCGCACGAAGGAGGTCGATGCGGCACTTGACAACTCTACACACGGAGCAGCGCGCTTTGACACCGAGGTGAGTGAGGATGTGTCTTGTCATGCCTCCCCTCTTGAGTGTCTTGGAGCAACCAGCCCACGGACAACATGTGATGGCGTTGTCTGGGCCAGCGATGCCATGTCCTCGTAAGTGTGCGGACACTGCGCTAGTCGTCCCCTCCACAAACATTCCACAGGGGACCCCCTCTAGTTTACACTCGTATACAACAAGTGGTTGACCGCGTTGTTCCACTCGAAGAAAAGTCTCGGGGTCGACGTTCAAGATATTGTGAGGCATATAGATGGTGAAGGATATACTATATGTACGCGGGTCAGCACTGTTCTTCTCGAGACGGACGGTTGACGTACCAGAGGAGTGAAGAGTGTAGTCAAATAAGTGGATAAAAGTGGTGTGGATTCGACAATTCCTGTATTTGAAGGTTACCCTAAAAGCATATCGTACTCGAGACCCCAGGGATTCTTTGCGATCAATTTTCCTAGCTCATGCATTATTAATAGTGCATTTAGGCGCATGTTAACTGGGGTGTTCGTGGTCCTAGTTTTTATTTAAGGCGGACGTGAGCCAGAAAAGCGGATTGAGGCTTAACCTGCCACCAACGAGGCGAAAGGGAAGGACCGGCAGCGGCAGGCCAGACTGACAAACCTGTTCTAAGAAAAAACTTAATGCCGTAACTTCATACTTCATCTCTTTGAGAAAGAAAATGGTCAGTACATCGAAGGACCCAGATGGCGGAGGCACCTTCCAGACGCTGCCTGAGCACAATGGCTTAGTAACCTACGTTCGTTCTGATGCGTCAGACGCATTTGCTAGTGCAGATGCTACGACTGATAGCTTTCGTGTGAGATGATATCGTTATTCAAGTCAAAGCGTTATGTCAAGGTCACCTATTTGGCATTCATCCCGCCAGCGCACTATTCGGAGGCTGAGTGCTGAGGCAGTATGGTAAGTTGTTAGTATACTGGCATCCTAGTAGTGTTCTTCCAACCCCTCGCATGCACAGCGAATGCTAAACCACCTGAAGTCGTCAATTTCCGACGTTGCTCAATCCCGATCGGAGAGCCACTGGGTCCTAACCGGTAACGGTGTAACCACCGTACTTAGCCGATCAGAGATATGATAATACGCCGGTGTGTGTAGTTGTTGCGTTTTGGCACACATCGCTGTGTTAACCGCAACAATTTTTGCAAGCTATCTGCGTACTGGGTTGCAATCAGTTGTATAGTTTCGTTAACTTTCGAGGAGTCCCCACTGCCAAGTCCTTATAAAGATAGCCAGACAACCAGTCATGTGCATGGTTGGTCGGCGGTGTTGGCGGGCTCGTGGAATGGAACCAGAAAATTTGGGATAATGTCATCCAGTTAGCATCATCAGCTGAAGACGGTCTGATCAGTCATCCGTACTTACATGTTGATGAAGATGAAGATGGCACCTGGGATCCGCGAGCATCGCGGCATCGTCGCCTATCTCGGAATCTGACTCGGATAGACACTGGGGAACTCACTAGAGTTCGTTCTAGATCTATCTATCCCAACGCTCTGACACGCAACTGTTTTGCAAAAGTCGAATGTCCCTTCTGACGTTCCAGTCCAAGGTAAATTCTCTGTGCATCGTTCTTATCCCACTACACATGTCTTCACCTTCAAGTTAGCATAGATATTGTCAAAGTGAAGTGAGATAAATTCTCGACCTTCAGGATTATTCGCAACTTGCAAATGATTGAAATCAGTCCCGGGCTTAGCTGAGTCTAATTACCATGTACCTAGTATATACGCTTCGTGCGCCGGATGGACCCGCAGATCCACGGGGCCTTCACAAGAACCGGCTACTAAATAAATTCCCGTGTGATCGATTTTGAGTTTCACCGATCAGAAAATCGTAGTCCTTCAAAGTTCTACGGCCCTGGCTCGTTCTCATCTGCCTCTTCATCATCAGTGTAATCTCAAGGAGTGTTGGTTTTGGAAGTGGCGCCTCAAGTTTGCAACATCACACAAGTGTCTAAGGCCTCTTATGCAAATCATTACATATTCGTGCACGTAACTTACATGAGAACAGTTACATGAGATAGTATCAGATTCGAGTGTGATGTGAGGCAAACGCAAATGAAGGTAAAAACACAAATGTTAATGAATGGCTATATCAAGTGACTGTCGGTACAAGAAGTTAAAGGAGCGTTTATATACGAGACGAAAGACGTTAAAGCGTGAGTGGGATCGTTGAAAGGGGTATAGGTAGGAGTGAGAAGGACTCGGGTATACCTAAAAGGGTATAGCGGAATGGGTATAACGAAAAGGTTAGGCCAAAGTTTAGCTATGAGTATGAGGTGTTATGGGATGTGGTTCGTTGGGATAATATGAAAATCGTGAAATGAAAAGACCGTGGATTAAAAAGGAAAAGCAGTGCACACTAGTATGGGTGCGGGTTGTGGAGGTATTGTTGGTATCAAGCGCCCAGCGCTGAAGGCCGAAAACCTTCCTTACAACAGCGTTCGTCAGGAAACGTACGAAGGTGATCATTAGGACTGATGGGTAGCGGCCCAACTCGTAGGGACGAGAAAACGACCTTCGGGTCCATTTACAATATCGGCACGTGCGAAGTGGCACGGCTCTGAGGATCTGGTATGCGCACGAAAGATGTCGAGGCGGCACTTCACAACTCCGCACACGGAGCAGCACAACTTGACACCGAGGTGGGTAAGGATGTGTCTTGTCATGCCTCCCCTCTTGAGTGTCTTGTAGCAACCGGCCCACGGGCAACTTGTGCTGGCGTTGTCCGGGCCAGTGATGCCATGTTCTCGCAAGTGAGCGGACACTGCGCTGGTCGTCCCCTCGATAAACATTCCGCAGGGGACTCCCTCTAGTTTACACTCATATACGACGAGTGGTTGACCGCATCGCTCCACTTGATGAAATGTTCGTGGGTCCACGTTCAATATATTGAGAGCCATAAAAATGTCGTAATGATTGAAGAATATACTATATGAACAATGGGTCAGCACTATTTTTTGGAGATATATGCGAGACGCACCAAAGGAGTGAAAGGTGCGGACCAACACTAGGCCGCTGGGATAGAAGAGAGTGTTGAGATTCATGCCTTCCAATTGAACGGTTTTTATATGAATGTCATTGGCATTCTGTCCAACCGGCTGCTGAGTCAGTGATCCGGGTGATAGGTATGGTGTGTTTGCCTCGAGGCCGTCGCAAGGGAAGGGATTCAGGAAACCTCCATGTGACTGTGACACTCTGGATATTCATGCGTGTGACGACGTGGCACGCAGACATGTCGGATTACAACTCTGATAGCTGGTAAGTATACCCACTATAAGCTAGGTTTTTTTTGAATTGTTACATTGATACAGCGCAAATGCAAAGATCAGTGTAGGACTGCTGCACAATTCCGGGACCGCCATGGTTCAGTACGTTATATGGTTGGTTGCTAATGTTACGTTACATCGACTGTGACGCGTGACTGTCGAGGGGCCTTTTAGGTAAGTATGTACCGTGCACCTCGGAGTCGGACTCGGTCACCAAATTCTATTTTTACCTCCCCGCCATACCGACGATCCTTCAAACGAGTGAATCGCCATGTTTCTCTTGCTATACGAGTGAGTCGCTGCATGTTTATTTTGACATTACTTCCTCCGCATTGGCATACCATTTGGTTGGAGGTTGAACGGTTCGTCAAGACTTCTTTGCAAATCTGTCATTGTACGTTAATCCTTACACACTGCCTTCATGTGATCAGCCCAGACATTTCAGCTTCAACCTCCAATGGCGACGAGCTTCTTGTGACACGCCTCATACGTCGGACAAAACTAACAGATGCCCTTCTGCTGCTGGAGGATGACGAGGATGATGTAGATATTGCTGGCATCATCAACTTGAGGAACCTCCGGATCTTTGACTGTTTCTACCACGATTCTGAGGAGAGAAGCTCGAACTAGGATGTCGATAATGCAGGCGAACGAATCGGCGGAAAAAAAACTTCCTTATATACTTATGGTGCGCGTCAATTAGTCGCTGCTATTTTTGCACTGGACCCTAGACTCGCAGTCCGTCTCCCGGCGCCAAGTGTTTATTTTTGGGACAAAGAGCTCGAACCGTCAATTCGGTCTCTGCACAAAATTAGCGGTGACGTATTGACACGCACCGGCAGGACATGCATTACCTGCGAAAAGTGGGGAAGGTCAAAGTAATTTTTATATTTGTGTCCAATTTATGTCCTATTGAGAATACTCCATGGAGTCCAATACATAACTATACTATGAAATATTGACTACAAATAACAAATCATCTACCGTCCAGGAATATCACCGTGTAGCGTACAGAACCCCCACATCTTGCAAGTCTATTTCTTCGAACAAGCTTCCTAGCGAATATCGCTAGACTCCCTAGTCGAAAAAAAAGTAACTTGTGTAAACAATACCGGTCATGAAACAGATCGAATCACATACCGGACATCAAAAGGATTAGACCTGATGCTCATTGCCAGCAGCCCAACTCGTAGGGTAAATAATATGTCCTTTGGGTCCGGAGACGTTTTCGGCGATTCCGAGATGGCATAGTCCAGAGGATTCGACATGCTCAAGGAGGACGTCAGAGCGACACCTTACGATTCCGCACACAGAGCAGCGTGCTTTGACACCAAGGTGAGTAAGAATATGCCTTGCCATACTCCCTTTCTTGAGTGTCGTGTAGCAGCCATCCCAGGTACATGTTGTGGTGGCGCTGTCCGGACCAGTAATACCGTGTCTACGTAGGTGGGCAGACACTGCACTGGTGGTTCCCTCCACAAACATTCCGCAGGGCGCCCCCTGTAATTCACAATCATACACAACAAGTGGTTGACCACTTTGTTCCATTCGGAACACGGTCTCAGGATCCACCATGTTGGGGATGATGTCGAGAGGCATGTCTAAGATACCGGTGGGTTGTCAGGCAGAGTAGCTGGTTAAGGATTATCAAAGGTACAGACTGAGTGTTCTATGAAGACAGGTGCACGATGCACGACACACCAGAGGGTCGAAAGTGTGTGTAAGTAGAAAACTGCGGTGATTTGAGAGTTTCAATACACTCACCTTCTGATTGCAGGGTATTTAAACATTTGTGAGGTAGTGGCATTTTTCGTCGCCGGGAGGAACATCAAGCTTTGAGGCTTGGAATTAGGCCAACAGCAGCTTATCTGCAGTGATAAGTAATAGACAAATGATGTGATTCTATCATAGATTTGGGGTGGATGTCGTCCGCTTTGTTCCCAGAAGCAGAAGATGGTCCGATCAGCCACTGCCACTTACACGTCGATGAAGATGATTGATAGGGACTCACAAATCTCAATGACGTCTGGAAAATCCATCCTCCCACGATCCGACCTTGCGCGATCCTTCCGAACATGGTTCGCTGTGGGACTTCGCCCCGCCCTTCTTTATTTTTTGTGGGAGATATTTGGCTGTTCTTTGTGCTGATACTGCTTCACTTGCCAAGTTACTAGGGCCGGTTGACATTTCTAAATCGGTGGTTTCAAGGTCTGAAACAAAGGTTCCACGAGATAGGTAGCCATCACCCGTCATGCTGTACAACGTACTGCTTGCTTTTCATCCTTTTTCTCCCAGCACTATCGCGGCGATCACTAGAGCAAACACATCAGGCGTGACAAATTAACTTATTCCCCCAACCTTGCTCTGCATCGGGGGTGACAAACTAACAAACCCTACTAAGTATTTCCAAGACGAAAACTTTGCTTATTTGAATTTCCGGCCCGGGCAGTCCGTCTCCCAGTCATCCGCAGGAAGGGGAGGTACCCGCTTGTTCAGTAGGTGGATTTTGTATATCGCCGTTCCCAACAGCCACTGACGATGATTCAGGATAAGTAGTCGGCGGCCTGAGTGAATCGGCGAAAAAAAATTTCCCTATATCTTGGATGGCGAGCTGATCGCTTGTCTCCTACCAGTACTGCCAACTGGGCTCATAGTATCACTTTCTCAAATCCTTGTTGTCCTACGCTCACTCGAGCTTGTGATTCGAGCTTGCATATATAGATGGCCGAATATTATATATGTCTCATCCCTGCCCCCTAAATAATGGTAATAATAAATATGAGTGTACATATTTTACATAAGAATGATGCCCAACGATTATCCAGCTATTCTGGACACAACTGTCCCGCCGTGCTCAAGCCCACCTCCAACAGTGAAAACTTGAGGCGTGTTCTCGAACGGGATGACTTTTCCCAGTGTCTCCCCGTCCCCACCCCCAAACTTGTTTTTCATTCTCTCTTTGCCTTTTTTCGACAAGTCCGGAAAGTCGGAAAGACCGACGGCAGGCCGCACGTCTTCCTCTACTGCCATCTCCAGTACTGCGCTCAACGAATCCCGCACATCCCCACCTTCCCAATCCACGTCCGACATCACATTCACCCACGCGTAGTTCACCGGTCGAGGCTTCATCTTTCTGTCCCGCTTCCCCCTGGCGAGCCCTACACTTGCTGGAGATGACTCGGCGTCATCATGAACTTGCAAAGAGCTTTTGGCGTTTCCGATGCGAAGCGCTCGCACGCCCGCACGGAAATGATCGCTTGCAGTAGACACGACACGGTCGGGTGCATCGCCTACCAGCGTGGTAAACTGGCCCTCGATGCTGGCTCGCGCGGCATCGTGAACCGGAAGGCTTAGCAATGCCCGCCCGGCCTCCCAAATTTCACGACCCCCGATTGTATCGATGACCGCGTCAAAACGAACGCGCCCGCGCGCCAAGTAGGTGAAAAGTGCCGTCGCTGAGGTTTTTTCAGTCTGATATGAAGTGAGAGGAAGTCCGGTATAGGAATATGGAGTAGGTAATGCGCAACAAGAGTGAGATGTAGAGGAAATATGACCATGTGCGGAGGATGAGTATGGCGACGATATTGTCGACGACGTCGACGAGCGTGAAAATGGTGAGGGAGATATGTTCTGCGAATGAGCGGAACAAGAAGAAGACTGTGGATAGTGCAGGGATGGCGATGAAGAAAAAGGATTGTCCCGCGGAGTTGGCTGGAGTGCGGAACTTGTCTCGATGGGAACAAATAAAACTTCGTCTGCGCCCCACCCACGAAGCCGTTTTTCAATGCGTTCCAGCATAACTCGTCGTATTGCCAACGTACGCTTCTTCTCTTCGTTTTGAAGGTCTTCTTCGGACTCGTGAGGAAGACCTGGAAGGTCAAATGGTACAGGTACATGAGCCCAGACAGACCACCCAGCGCGAACGAGCATCTGGAGGGCTAGCGCACCGGGTCCGTCATGTCCACGTAAAATTAATATACGAGGCCGCATTGTGTCGAGCCGCTTTTCTGCCGACCCATATTTAATGGAACGCATCATGACAACGTCATCTTCATTAGTGTCCATGGTAGCCTCAGGACTATGCTCATTTCCGCGCAACCGGCGTACAGCTACATCAGGCTTTACTAATGCGCGTGTTATGTGCGCCAATGTGCGCACAGCACGATAAGCAGGAACACCCGAAAGCGGAAGTAGAGCGAGCTCGTCCACTGTGAGACCCTTGGGTTCATTCACAGCAGGAAATACAAGAGAATTGCGCTGCGCTATCTTGTCATCCTCACTCAGTGAGGCGAGAACCAGAAGTGGCTGATCAGGCATGTGAGGATGTGGCACGCAATGAATGCGATGTCGGTCAACGATAATGAATTCAGTCAAAACACCACACTTGGAAACGAATCAGTATATTTGTATTAAATCACGTATTAATGTAACACAAACCTTGTGCACGCTATTGAGACCGATGACCCACTCTCCCCTCTTGAGAGAATGATTGTCAACATCCCACCCTACTTCGAGGATACGCCCAACGAAAGATCGTCCTGGAATATAGCCCAGTGGAACAGGCCGTTTCCCTTCACTTTTTTCCTCGGCCCTGTGAGGAGTCCCTGGCGATGGTTGCGTCCATGGCGGCGGATGCACACCCACAAGACGGGCATCCACATCATCTAGCCCCACAGCCCATATTTGCACTAGCACTGAACTTCCGCCTACATAAACCGGAGGTTTTCGATAGACTGTGAAACCGAGTGGACTGTCTGCAGGGACCTGTCGAGATTTGCCCTTCCCTTGCTTGTTATCATCCTTTGAGAACCAGCCCAAGCCAAACGATGGCCCAGAAGGCTTCGATTCCTGGCATTCTACATGACCAGACGCGATTCCACGAACAATCTCCACGCTAGCCATGGTCGTCTGTGCAAGTCCAGCTCGTGTAAGATCAATCTTATCTCCAAACCCGAGTCCCGCGCCCAGGCTTTCTGCGGCTGTTGCCCTTCTACCTTTTTTCCAGGGGCGCCAAGAACCAATACCAGAGTTCGATCCAGATGTAGCTGAAGAAGTAGCCGCATGAGGAAGAACAAGACTGGTGAATCCACGTGTGCCACTTGATGGAAGCGCGTTTGCCTCGCGTGAGGACGATGCGTGCGCAGCAAGGGCGTCTAGGGCATTAAATGGCGCCAAGGTATAGGGAGATTTTGTGGTTGAGGAAGTTGCGCGAGAGGCGCTGCTCATTGGACGAGACGCGACGCTGACAGATGATGCAGATGCACCAGATACGCCATAGTGTGAAGTTACACCAGTTGCGCGAGAGTGCAAGCGGGTTGATGGCGACCGTGATGGTGTGCCATCGCGAGATAATGAAGGATAAGACGAACTACGGCGTCTGGTCAACCTCGGTGCCGACCGTGATGAAGCCGCAGGTGGCTCCTGTCGCACCGGTCTCGGTGGTTGAAGAGTATGTGTTGGGATATATGTCAAAGACTGTGAGCGCTTGTGAGACATACTCTTATCCGCTCCAGCAGGGTCGCCACACAGGTAGGCGTCCTCCTCAACTTCAAGAAGAACCGACATGCCAACCATCGCACGCATCACTTTTGCTTTCATGTGCCCATGACCTTTTGACCTTCGTCCATGCGGAAATGGAGGTTCAACTTTCGGAAGGTCATGCATTTGAGAAGGCACGTGCGTCGTATACGTTCGTGATGTATGTGAGGAAACAGTGCTCGGTAAAGATGAGGCAGAGCGTGATGCTGCATTTGAAACACTGTTCGGCGAAGTATTGTGTCTGGTATTCTTGCCTCTAGGCCCGTTATATTGCGAGGCCTCAAGCCACCGAACGTCTTTGGCCCAATCCTGGTCCGTATAAGTTAGATGACGGTGGGTTGAATTACGTTTATGATGCCCTGGCTCGTTTTTGACGGTGACTGTGGTAGTCAGAGAAGATTTGGTCAAGGAAGTCGTTGAAACAGATATAGCCTGTGGATTGTCAGATCCTATAGATGCAACAGACGATGCAGCAGAGTGAAGGGGTGTCGAATATGGAGAGTGAACTGGAGTCTGCGAGCAAGAGGCCGGAAGGGAAGATATAGGCGTAGTAGGAGGGGTGTAAAACACCTCTTCAGAGTCGTGCTGAGCGGGATCTATAGATTGATCTGCATCGCAAGCGTGGAACTCCCAAACTGTTTCTTGCCGCGGTACTTGTGGCTTCTCGCCATGGACGCCAGTGGCGATAGAGACACTGGGAACATGTCCTCCGGAATCCAGCGCTGTCGCAGCGGTAAGGACAACCTGGCCGTTCTTCAGCAAAGATAGATGTCAATACATGTGTTCTAAAATGTATTTATGGTAACTCACCTGTATAAATGAACAAGACTTGTCTTGGAGACCATGTCGGCTCTCGTGGTTTGACTCCTCAAGCGGATCCTCATGATTGAGTTCGGAGGCTATACGAAGCAGCTCGCCCTTGGTTGAGTGAAAATCCCTCGTGTGGGGCTGCTCTTGAGGTTGAAGGGCTTTTGTTGATGTTGTGCGGCTTGTGCCTGTAGCATATTTCTGAGAAGGTCTTCGGAGTACCTTCTGGAGAAAAGTCGGACGAGCCATACTGGGCGTATTGACCACCTTCATCAACTATCATCAACTGCAGGCTATATAACTTTGATGTCACGGTAAACTCAAGCCCACACCACTGGAGTCTCCCACATGTAGACAGCGTGGTTATAGTTATGCGTGTGGAAGCGTGTAAAGAAAGTCAGAATCAAAACCTTCCGCAGTATGTGATATACGTCATATCCTCTATTATGAGACATTTTTGCCAGGCCTTCGCTGCCGCTTCCCTCCAGCTGGTACAACAGCAAAAGATACCGTTCGCTTTCGCTTGGGCGGGGGCAACAGTTCGGGTGCCTCCTCTTCATCCTCGTCCTCATCAACCTCTTCCTCACCACTCTCGGAATCGCTGCCTTGATCGGACTCGCCTTCATCACCGTCCTCGTCTCCGCTTGCCTCTTCATCTCCAGCATCGGCCTCATTTTCGCTGACTTCTTCATCAGCAACCCACACATCGTCCAATATCACCTCCCTCTTCTCTACTTCTCCAGGCTGCAACTGTACAAGTTTCACCGCTTTCCGTAGCTCTTTCCGGCTCTTCAGCATTGCCAGAATTTCTTCGTTATTTGTTGAAGAGGACGTAGTCCGTGACCCTGGCGGCATGGTATACCTCGCAAACTTTCCAATGCTCCAATCCCTGAGGACAATGCGCGCTGCACCTGCATGATCCAGGGCACCACGCTACATACCACAGATATCAGCGTGCGCTTGAATCATATCCTCGGAAAACGCACCTTTTTTATAAGCCCGCTCGCACGTGCCATTCCAGCAAGGAATGAGGTCAGATCGCCCTTCGAAAAAGCAGGTAAGCTGTATGCCAGCATCATATCCTGGGTATCTGCTCGAGACACAATGTGCTCAACTTTCATGGACGTCAGATTTGAGGTAGAGGAACAACTCGACGACACTCACCGGCAAACAATGGGTCTTTAAGTCGATCGATCCGCCCCCGACTTCGGAGCAGGATGTCTTTTGCTCTCGTCATTTCCTTCTCCTGCTCTTCTATATCCTCCGCACGGACATATTGCAATCCTGGGGTATCAATCAACCGCACCTTTGCCCCCTTTTTGTCAGGAAATTCCAAGACTAACTCGCTTGCTGATGTTGTCGTGTAAGGTCCTTTTGCAGATGTCGCAGAATTCAGATTGTAGATAGGTAGTAGATGTGCGCGAGCAAGAGAATTGATAACCGCAGATTTACCACACTGGACGAGGCAATTCAATCAACAATGATTCGACGCATAATCAACCGAGGAAACTCACATTGGTCACTCCCGTTAGGGCTACAACCAACTCCTCACCAGATTTTTTGGCTTTGAGCTCGCTTAGCTGCTGCCAAACTGCGTCCGAGCCAAGCGCATCGTCCAACTTGACAGGAATCTTCTTCGATGCCGGAGACGGGTTAATTTTAGATGGTAAGAAAGCTTCTGCCACACGAAACAGGAGGACGGTATACGTTAATCGTAAGTAGGAGAGCCATGATACCAGAGATTCTCGTGGTACGCAATCTAAATGCAATTAATCAAGTGTCGTTCGCAGACAGGACAAACGACCTACCAATTTTGTTCACGAGGAGTACGATATCTTTGCCTTTCGCTTCCTTAAACAAAGCCTCACTGAGGCCTGCTGCAGGATCCCGTGCATCCACTACATGTAGCAGAACATCCGCTTTTTGCAACACCTCGCGAAGAGACTGAGGTCCTTCGATGACCGGTATGACAGGCTCTGAATTCAATGGTTCTGCAGATTGTTTTTTGGATGGAACTGGAGGTGCGGGACGAAGGGACATAATGCCGTCAAAACCTTGCCCATCATTTTGATTTTCGTTGGGGTCAACATTCATGATATTTTTTTGAGAATCTTCGACGTCGAGTCCAGTAAGAGCAGCACGCTTTTCATCCTTACGTCGTTGCTTTTCCTCTGCAGCCTGGAGTGCAATCAAGTGAGTAGGGGAAAATCGAATGGATCAATGCTTTTACTTGTCGTCGTGACTCTGCAACTTCCGCGAGTATTTGATCCTTGTAGGGAAAATTGTTCGGGATCCCGGGATCTTTTTTGGATTTCTTCTGGACTATACAAAGACTATGAGCGCAAGGAAACAAACAACCGAGCAAAAAAAATAGATGCAAAGATGATTGTCTCAAAGTCCTGAACGAAGTAGTTCGCCTGACGCAACGAACGGTACTCACTTTTTCCAGCAGCCTGTGCTTTCCGAGTCTCTTTCTTAGCTTTCTTCCTGCCCTGCGAGACCTTATGCTTCAACTTTTCACGTTGATGGGTCGTCCCTCGCTTGGATGTTTCTATTCCGCGGTATCGATATCACGAATGAGTATATTTTCATCGAGTTGATTAACTACATACTTTTACGAATCCGAGGCATGGCAAAGTGATTTGCGAGCGCAGGCTGAAATCACCACTCGATGTAAATCCCGAGTGCCAGGTGAGCTCAAGTATCCTCCCTTACGAAGGGAGTATGCGCGTGAAATAAATTCCTTTTTCGCGCCTAGCGTAATACCTTAATATTTGGAAGCATTTGTAAGCCAGTCCTGTATCAGGTGGTATGGTCAGGCTGTCTGTGTTAGTTGACCGTGTAACTCTCTAATCTCAGACGACGCCAACATGCATCATGCGTTGCTCATTCCAGATGTACGAGCCCTCATCTTTGCCTCTATCAAAGAGGATAAGCAAATGGGGCGATATACCTTTGCCATGCTAGCCAGAACCTGCAATGCCCTCAGCGAGGCTTCTCTGGACGTTTTGTGGAGCGAACTGGATAGTTTGCGTCCGCTAGCATCGTGTATTTACTCAGCAAACACTATACCCTCAAGCGATGAGGCATGTCTATTACATTTGTTTGCTACAATTCAGGCTGAATCATCACATTCTATCTCACAGTCCACGATTGAAGCCAATGATGACATGAGACCAGATTTCTCGGTCTTCGATAAATATGCTCATCGTGTTCGCAAATTAGACCTTTCCGGACAACAAAGATTCTTGAGACGCAACGGTGGCTACCCATCTCTTACCGAGGATCTAGGCGCATTACTCTATTATCCACTGAAATCCCCCTTTTTACCGAATCTCAGGCACTTAGCTTGGGCCCCTGGGACGGGTCTCAATCTACTTCGTCATCTGCTCGGTCCACATTTGCTGTCTCTGAAAATACCCAGCCACCGCTGGAGCTCATCATCCACTCTATTTTCCCTGACCAAAATTCCTCTACTATGCCCGAAAATCACATCACTGACGCTACAAGTTCATTCTTGGGATGGACATATAGACTCAGAATTAACTCAAAGCTCGCATTGCATATCTCGGGTAATCGGTTCTTGGGCCAAACTCGAGGAGCTGGACTGCAACCCCATGACCTTTGAAGGTCTTAAACACCTGTCTGGGATGAAATCTCTCAGAATTCTCCGTCTGCAAGTCAACGCTGCATCTGTCATTGACCTACCTCCAGACTCGCTTTCATTTCCGTCGCTGCATACTTTCCAGTTCCAAAGCGACACCCTGGACACTGCTATCACTCTTATGAAAGCGATGAAAAGCTTCCCTATATCTTTGAAGATTGACGTGTTTGCGGGGCGGTCCCGCAGAGGAAATTGCAGCCCGGAAATTGTCGGAGTCCTCCTGGGCCTCGTCAGTCGAGATGCATTGCACCACGAACTTCGACATTTCAGCCTGAATCTCCCACTCCTTCTTGGAGATAATCCTGACCATGTTTCCGAGATCCTACGACCGCTCTTCGTGTGTGGTAAACTTCGTACACTGTCCCTACGAATGGCGTCGCCATTCACTCTTGGTGACGACGATTTGGAAAGTATGGCTGACGCTTGGCCATTGCTCGAGGAACTCGAGTTGATCGATTTACGACCACGTGTAGCGACTCACACTCACACTCACCCTCCACTCCCACCCCCACTTCCTCTCAATCCTCAACTACCTCTCCCACCCATCACTACTACGGGTCTTGGCCAGCCAAACCAAGTTTCACAAGCTCCAGTGGTTACTGTCATACCCCACCATGTACCTATGCCGCTACCTCTGGCAAATGCTGGTCAGACACCTCAGTTCATATACCCACCTGCATTTACCATCCCCCCTCCAGTATTTCCAGCGTTTCCGCCACCAGACCTTTTCTTCCCTGTCAGATCACGAACCGCTGAAATTACTTTTCACGGCCTCATTTCGCTTTTGAGGTTATGTCCAAATCTTTACTACTTTGACCTAGCACTCGACGCTACCAAACTGGATGATCTACAAGGCGATGAGCCAGGTGGTGGAGTTTGTAATCGACTGGTCAAGTATGCGAGGCTTATCGATTCGCCCATTAGCGATCCTGAGGTGGTCGCTCGCATCCTTTTCGCCATACTTCCTGAGCTTGATCCCCTTGCGGGGCCAAATGCTCTACTGCCAGCTCCCCCTCAACACCTGCCCGCACACAACATGACGCCTCACAAGTGGAACATTGTTCGTCAGAAAATAATGGAATTCAGAGATAAGGCGAGAAATGCTACAGCCACGGCCTGTTAGCCAGATCTAATCCAGATGCATTTGTTATGTATAACTACGTGTAAACTTCCTTGGATTACTATTACCATGAACGACCGGTGTACGTTTCTAATGTAGTTTTGTAAATGTACCGGTTACCCAGAGAAGTTCGGGAGTCCTCAAGCTACCATTTTTCGTGTCTGTGTGACACTCAGAGACAGGTGACGTGCGGCTGACTATGATTATGCGGACAGTAGTCTTAAATTTGCAACACACCTTGCATGGCTTATGGGTTATATTGTAATAGGAGGAGTGAGATAGGCCTCAAGGTGATGGCCATGTGCAGTAGGCCGCTGTATGTATTATAAATGGATCCATGAGGACAAGCTTATATCGGGTTACTAGTTTGAACTCCGCTATCCTCAATGTGGAGGCTTGCATGGTCGGGAATGCCTCACACTGATATAATTCGCTGTAGGTGATGCTTGCAGACAATCAAGAATGAATACCATACATACCTGCGGTAGTCGGTACAGGGTCGTTAAGGGAGCGGAGTGCGACTTTGCCTTTTATTTTAATCACATACAGAGCAAACGCAGGAGCCCAGAAGAATAAAATAATGTACGTGTTTTGGCATCGACACGTCAGAAGAAATTTATCTTCCCCCTATTGGGTCTGCCTACAGGAGACTGCTTCTCCCCATAAGTTACTCTAAATACATAAATAACTTGCCTAACCACAAGTCCTGTCAATATTATCACATAGACGGCGTCCACTCAGCAAGCCACTCCTTCATGTACATTAATCCTGCTTCCTGCACGACCGCGATGGTCTGGTCTACAACTCCATTCTCCGTGATCAAATCCGAGCAATGGAATCCATCGCCTTCATAGATCGGCATGCTGGTAGTGTTGGCCTTATCTAGTCCGTCAGCAGAGACAGTTACCTCGCGCCAAGGGTCGCGCAGGCCATTGGCGAAGAAGAGATGTGGAACATCCAGGTTCCAACCGCCATACATCATGTCGGTCTGCGCAGTGCTCGGCTGAGGTGGATAGGCGAAAGCTTGGGGGAACATGTTCACGCATTGGCGCTGAAAATTATGTTCAAGAATGCTCGTGTTTCGAATACAATATACGTACCTCTTCGTAAATGGGTTGGAGGATGCGGCTCACAATGGCGGGCTGACCTTCAGGAGGGCCAACCTGGTACCACCCCACTTGATTGCACCTGGAATATTTGTCAGAGTGAATATTCTAAGCAAAGAGAATACATACACCATCCAAAACCACGACCTGTTTGCTTCATTTATGGTAACATTGGTCCAGTAGGACTGGCTCGCGTTATAGGTCCCGAGACAAGTTCTAGCTTCACAGTCAGCCAATCTGGACGATTATGTCCCAAAAAATACGTACTCAGCATCCTCAGATCCACAGACTGTACCATCAAGTTTAGCCACATCAATCAGAATCAAGGGGGCCGCCTACCATAGTTGTAGTATGTGGTATTCCAGAAGTTGCCCCAAGAGTATATGGCGTTTTCAAGCCCCCATCCTTCGGGTCCGGCATTGACACCGTTCTTGACCTCGAGTGCATCACAGAACACGAAGAACATCGCTCCTGGGCCGACGTCAGGCTGCAGAGATTGCCAATCGAATAGGTTATATTGAACTGTTGGTTCAAACAGAGTCAGTCGAGTCAAGAAGGCAGCAGAACAATTCAAGAGATAGAATATTTTAAAAGGTAAGTATATGGAAAAGGAGGAACTCCGCGCGCTAGTGAAAGCAATATAAATTACAAATGTTGCGTGGATCAGAAGTACTTCAGACCACTATGCCCATTCCCTGCAAAAATTCAAGACTAAACAGCGGATAAGAGCGACTTACGTGCACTGGCGAAATCATCTACATGTACAACATCGCCAAGGCCAAATGCCTCCTTAAGGGTCTGGATTCCCGCTGTGTCGTTAGCCGCGTACAACCCATCCAGGTAGGCAATCACAGCCTCTACATCAGAGGAACAATTCTGTGGCATGTACTCGCGAACAGGGGTAAAATACCCATAATAGTCACTGTTTTGGTTGAATGGAAGCCCATTTCAATGAATGAATGACCATATTGTAATGCAAATATGTTAAGATTATCATGATGGTGGGAGAAGGAATTATATCAATGAGACATGAGTGGTGATTTCAATAAAGTGACGTACGTGATTGCTTCTACGACCGCAGAAGATGCATATGCGGCCCAGAAAAGCCCTGGTTTGCTTTACGCGAATCATGAGCTGAAACAAATATTAAATTTTGATAAATTACTCACTTGACCATTGTCCAAGCCGTAAGGGCACCTGAATAACTTCCTCCGATCAGTATCCATGGCGCCTGACCTGGTTTCACAGCATCACCCCCGGGCATGGGAAGGTCAACGGTATTGACGAAATATTCGAGATCATCGATGGCCTGTTGGATAGTGAGGAGCGCGAGAGACTGTGACGTGAGGTTGTCATATGGATTGGAATAGCCAAAGAAACGGTGTTCGACAAGGACGGTTGCACCATTCTGTTGTTGAGCGATGAGGCCATTGATAGTTTCATTGGTAAGGTAGCCCTCGTAACCTAAAAATTAAGTGCTTGAGAGAAAGTTGCCAATGAAAAATGGTGAACCGACCATCCGCATCAGTTTCTCCAGGGGTCATCAAGATGATGGGGCCACCTTCAATGCACCAGGTCAACGTTACTCGAAGCTGTACCTCAATCCTCACAACATACCGGGCTCGTAATACTCCCAACTCATCCAGTATCGCTGCTGGAAGGTCCCGAGGTCTGGATTATTGTGGTCGATGAGTTGATCGAAGTAATAGACAGTCGTGAGGGGTGGGAGTGCTGTGCCATTCGGTGAAGTAATAGAACGATCCGGCATTGGGAGCTTTGGGAGAGAAGGCATGCCGCGAAGCATGGCGTTGGGAATAGCTGCTCGGGCAAGACCTGTAAGCAGGAGGGACACAAGGGCCCACATTATGTTGAACATTGATGACAAGGATGGCACTCGATAACATGATGATAGTCAAGGAAAGACCTTTTATAGCCACTACACGTCTGATTGAAACATGTGCTACTCGCTTCGCAAGGAATACTCGGCAATAGATGCAGGATATAATTGGACCCACCTGACTGGCAGCATATTGGTCTATGTTCTTAAAATGCGTTCGTCAAACTGAACTTGGCCAGACCCAGTACGCGTGTGGATTTGCTGAGCTACATCACGTTGAGAGTCTGAATGTGACTCGCGCGACTGAGATTTGAATAGTTGTGGGTTCTGATCAATAAATCCTGGTGGTGAATTAGAAAACTCGCTACCGTTTGAATGATGTCGGAAACCGGTTCCGAGACTCTCACAGGAACATCTTACGAGAAGTTGTCGGGCCCATCTGATTGTTGTAGCACATGCGTCAGTGGGAGAAGACCTACATGCCACATGATGAACAGCGTGCTCCTTCACCCAAGACCACAATGTACCGCAGTTTCGTCCAGTAAACGGTAGAAGTTAAAGAAGGTAAGTCCTTTTGGCACTTGCTATGGTGACAAGGAGTTTTTGAAAATTTCGTGACTTGAATCCGAATGCGGTCAAGCGCGCGATCACTTTGCCTTTTTCGTTCCCTACTCTTGTCTCGCTCTTTGTTCGTGGCATTGAGGGAGTCAAGCCTCAAGGTATGCATCTGCTTTCTCCTCGCCGGCCTTCTCTCACAAAAATATTTTATCTAGCTCACTTATAGCTATACATTGTGACCAACAACCGGAAATGCATCGTGCGCTACTCGTTCCAGACATCTTAGATCATATCCTCGCGTTCATCAAGGCTGATAGTCTGCAAATCAGTCGTCGGACTTTCGCAGCACTCGCCAGAACTTGCAGTGCTCTCAGCGATGCCTCGCTGGATGCTCTATGGAACGAGCTACGTAGCCTGTACCCGTTAGTATCGTGCATCTACGATACTAACATGGAATTCGTTGACGATGTAGGTTTCCAGTATCTGTACGTTGTTCCTTACGCTAATCCGCTTTTCGAACAGGGCACATCAAAAATTAACAGCGATGCGGGACCCGATTTATCCGTCTTTCATAAGTACGCGTATCGCGTCCACAAAGTAGAGCTTTCTGGATACGAAGGCGGCTGGAGGGCTACAGCTGTCCATGATGATCTGGGAGTGTTTCACGTTCTTAAAATTCCCACTCCACTCCTTCCCAATCTCACCCACCTAGCTTGGGCTGATGAACTTAGTCTTGCTCTGCTCTGGCCACTGCTCAATCCACGTTTATTGTCTCTTCGCATATCAAGCTTTCAGTGGAACCCGAAATCCACCCCATTACTTCTCTCCAAAATAAGGGGGCTCTGTCCGGAGCTGAATACACTGGGGTTCTTATTCTATCTGTCAGAAGGATACGAAGCTATAGCAGAAAGCTTCTTATCCCGAGTAATTTGCTCTTGGAAGAAGCTCGAGGTGCTGGACTACAGCCCAGTGGGTTGCGAATGCATCCTTAGCCTTTCTGCTTTGTCATCTCTCAGAATCCTTCGGTTGCGTGTTGATAACACATCTGACCTCAATCTGCCCCCAAATTCGCTCTCATTTCCATCACTGCACAGTCTCCAATTTCAAGCCAACAGCCTAGCGACTGCTAATTCCATCCTTCAAGCGATAAGGACATTACCCAAATCTTTAGATATCTTCCTTCCGGTGTATCGGTCGGGGGATGCTGGTGTGGAAACAGTCGAGCCCATTCTGCAACCTATCAGTCAAAATGCATCTTGCGGCAACCTTGAAGAATTTCGCATGAACGTCCCCGCCTTTCTGAGCGGCGGTGTCAACGGCTCTAATGTGTTCAGACCCCTTTTCCTATGCCGCAACCTTCGCGTATTGCGCATAATGATGACACCGTTATTCTTGCTCGTTGATGATGATCTGCGTGCCATGGCTTCTGCTTGGCCACTATTGGAGGAACTTGAGCTGTTCGACTGTCGCAATCTATATCCGCCAGTTCCTTCCCAACCCTTACCTATCATGGACCTCCCCAATGACGACGACGACGATTTCCCACCTGTGCCACCCCTACCCGTTGGACTCCCTCCTGTGCCACCCCTGCCTGTTGGACTCCCACCTATGCCACCCTTTACTATTACGGGCCCAATGATGTCATTGCACTTGGATGCGACAACACCGTTTCAAGATTTCAGCATGGTTCGTGGCAATCGGAATTCTGAGATCACCTTTCACGGTCTCATTTCGCTTCTGGAGTTGTGCCCTAATCTTCGCTTCTTCAACCTGGCTATCGACGCCACCAAGCTGGATGGACTGCGGGATGATAAACCAGGCGGTGGTGTTTGCAATCGACTGGTCAAACATCCCAGACTTGTTGATTCTCACATCAGTGACCCAGAAGCGGTTGCTCGCATCCTCCTCGACATACTTCCTGAACTTGAGACCATTTGGGGGGAGGGTTCTCCCGGTCCTTTTACAAACATGTTCAGTTCAACACTGCCTCAAGGATGGGACCAAGTTCACAGAATCATACTAGATTCTAAAGCAGCACAGAGGTTGTGACGTAGCCACCATGGCCCGACTTCGGCAACCTAATGATTTCACTATGCCATTACAACTCTGAATCATTTTTTGAACAACTGTACACACTCGAGGACTCATCACATAGATCACATCTACTGTACAATAGTTTCCGCTGACCAATGAAAAGCACCTGCATTATTTTACAGCTACGAAAGTAGTAACAGAGTAGAAATAGTATGTGGTCAGAATCTAGGGGGTAGCATACGTAGCTAAGCACCTGCCATCTCAACGTCACCTAGACCGTCACCATTATTTAGTAGTGTTTCCGCGGCACGCTTGATAGTGGCAATCTTGGCTCGCATGACAGCAATTGCCTCTGGAAGTAGACGTTGTGGAGGATAAAATCCTTCAGACTCTATGTTAACTATGCAGGGATATCGGTCAGAACACGCAAGACAAGGAGAGGACACGACGCATACATAAGAAATGATCTCGGACTCGAGCGAGTTGAACGCATCCTTCAAACTCTGGGTGTCTGTATACTTCTCTACTCATTGTTTCGTTTCGCGTGTTTTTGGCATCCACATTAACAGCTTTCGTTCGAGGATCTACTCGAATAACACCAGGCGAGAAGCATTTTTGAAATTTGTCTGCAAGCTCTGGAGGCACGGGCTTTTCTGGGTTCAAAATCACCAACGGGAGTAGACGATATGACGCCGTCGCTGTTACTTGGAGGTTAGAAATCCAGCTACAACTACTTCAGAGCGGTGACTCACCGACTGGACAGAACTTTGCGTGATCTTTCCCTACTCCCTTGACAGCATGTAACTCCATGTCAATTTCTTGCCCAGGCCGTAGCTTTGTCAGCACAATGTTTAGATTCGTAGGTGCAGGGGGATTGTCTGCCATAACGACCTCTTGCTCTCCTTGCGGAACCCATTTCAGATGCGAGGACAGGACCTCATGGTTGATATACAGTTTGTTTGGGTCCGTGGCGTCTTTCGGCGCATTCTTCCGACGCTCGCAGGCAACTTGTAACCGAAACACAAGCGTATTGCGGTCAGTAGCCTGGTCATTTGGACCTGTTGAACGGATTAGCGTGAAGAAGATCCACGGCGACTTTTTTCAACTAGCCTTGTTTCATATCCATGAAGGCCGGATCGACGTTTAGAGGCACAAGGCCTATCCGCTGCGCAAGCACTTCATCGACGACAACTGAAGTGTTGTCCCAAACGTAAACTCTTTCGACGCAGATTGTTGGAACCTATAGAGTACATCAGACGTGGTCGCGCTGCGAATGAAAACCTAGGTTGACTTGCCTCGGCGATCAGTATTCTCCTGAAAGCATTTGCGATGGATGCATCCACTCCGACTAGATCAAATTCAATGGTACGGTTGGATAATCTTTCTATTTTGACGGTCAATCCCTATCCTTGCATGGCCATGGATCAGTCGAATATGTATCAAGCTTTAGCGCCAAGACGCACCTTCCTGAATCTCTCCAGGTCCCATGAGTGGTCCTCATTTGGGAAATGTCCAGGAAAGTTTGTGCTGGAAACATGGGAGACGCGTTCTGGGTGAACCCCGACGTGTTTCCTGGGGTCATATGTGATTACTGGCGGCATACTTTTAGCAGATGCGCATGTAAGATAGTACTAGCCGAAAATTTTTGGGCGTCAAGATCCCAAGATAGAAACCCCGTGACCTCGGGCCGCTTCATTGAAGCGTTGATGTCATGAACTTTAGTTTTCGCACACCTCTTGTTTTCGGTCCTTGTAATTCCATCAGCGATTATCGCTATTATCCCAATAAACCAAGGAATGGAAGCTGAGGGGTTTGCTGGTCCGCAGGTAGTCCAGCCTTTGACGCCTGAAGCGCTGGCAACATTCAATGCTGCGCAAGCTCGCACTGGCGTAATCTACATCTCACGAATACCTCCTGGTATGCGTCCTGCCAAAGTACGACATTTAATGAGTGCCCATGGTGAAGTGGGGAGGGTGTATCTTCAACAAGAAGGTGTGTCTGCTCTTCACCATGCCATTGCACACTAATTGGATTTTTGTCAAGACGCCAAGCGTGCATACCTCCGCCGAAAGTATACGTCCACCAAAAAGCCGCATTTCACTGAAGGCTGGGTGGAGTTTAAAGATAAAAAGGTCGCGAGATCTGTGGCAGAGATGCTAAACGCACAGCCGATCGGCGGCAAGAAGGGCACCCGTTGGCGAGATGACGTTTGGACTATGAAGTATCTCCCCAAATTCAAATGGAACATGTTGACTGAGCAAATAGGTGCGCGTTTCCACTTCATGCATGAACACGCAGGACACTCATTGCAACCTCAGCTCATGAAGCTGCCATTCATACCGCTAAACTGCGCGTCGAGCTTGCGCAGTCGAAGACGGAACAACGCGATTACCTCAAAAATGTAGAACTCGCACGAGTATTAGACAAGCGTAACGAGAAAAGACAGGAAAAAGGTTTAGGGCCAGTTGAGCTGAAGCGCCCAGCTGAGGGTAGTAAAAGTAAAGAAGAGCAGCCTCGAAAAAGATTGAAACACACGGGCGATACCCAGCTTGATAGTGTACTTGGTAGTATATTTTAGTTCAGGAGTTTCAAGCATCATTAATGTTCAATGTGTCTAATTAGTGCACGGGCCAGCCGGCGGCACGGGATAAATTTTAATCGGCGCGTGAATGGGGCAAGCAAGAGAACATAGTTGACGGAAGCAACGACTTACATCGCGACATTGTTGACAAAGGTTTGAGTTGGTCAACTGGCACGGTTGGTCTCAAAAACTCACAGTCTCGCGATTCAAGAGGTCTGTCTGTCCTTCTACATCATGCTCGGCTCTCTCCTCAAACCTCCATCCTTGCCGTGGAATATCGTCTCTGATTTCTCTCTCAGTTCTTACTTCTAAAGATATTATAATGTCTTCCTGGCCTGCTCCTGCTTACCCTCCGCCTCGTCGCTCGCGTTCTCGCTCGCCTCCTCGTGGTGGTCATCCTCGACCACAATATCCAGACACTGGGTATCCTCCGGACCAGTACAGAGGTGGAGGTGGCTGGGATCCACATGAGAGGGATAGGGAGAGAGCATGGGTCGAGTATGAGCGAGATAGAATCGCATATGACCACACTCGTCGCAGAAGCCGCAGTCCGCCACCGGACGATAGTATGAAAATTTCTTTATACTTCGTCTCATGACAATGTGTTGACTAACCCAATTTATATAGGCAGGAAACGGCGCAGGTCCATTTCACCTTATGATAGGGAAAGGGAGAGATATGATCCACGCCCGCGCTATGGCGATGATTATGGTGTTTTGGCTGCCCCGAATTATTTTCTTATTTCTGACTTCAAACTAGATGCGCATTCGCGGGTATATAGCTACAGGTCTCCTCCAAGAACTCAATTTGCGCCCCCATATCCTCCTCGCAGAGCACCCGCAGACCCGCGTACACTTGATCACCCAGCAACCCTGAAGCAATATGCCGAATGGTTTAGATACGCCTTCCCTCAACAAGCTTCCGATGAGGATGCTGCCGACAAGGCAGCAGAGCAAGAAGCTGGCGATGGTTCCAAGCCTCGCAACGGCATTCGTTCTCGTTGGGAGAAATACAAGAAGGATTTCGTCGCAACTCAGGTTAGTCGCCGTCAATCTCTCAAGCAGTACTGTGTGTACTGCGTGGCATGTTGTGTCCATTGCCGTCATGAGTTTTATGAAGCAGCAGCTGAACGTCTTTTGTTATGTATGTAGTTGCAGACCATGTTTGATCACCATAGGAAGTCCCCGTGGTTTGCAGAGAAGTATGATCCAGCTCCGGAGTTCGTTGCTCTACGTCGTCGTGTTCGAAAGGAAGGTTGGAGAGGGCGATTAAACACGTTTCTGCTAGACCTCGAGTCGGGCAAGTTTGATCCTGACTTGAGCGAGCCTGAAACAGACACAACTTCTCCCATTAAGGAGACAGTTGAGGCTGGTGAGGATGCGAAGACTGGTGGCGATGATGACATGCAGTTTAACCTCGACGCTGAGGACGATGCTGGTGAACAGGAGCCCAGCCGCGCTGAGGCCAACGGGAAAAATGTAAATGACAGCAAACGCAACAATCGTGGCGAGGAAATTGGTGTCGCTCCGGAAGGCAATCAGGTCATGATTCGGACTATTCCGCCTGATATCGGTCGTGTGAAGCTGGAGGAGGTAAGTGCGGTCTTTCTATGGTGATTGTATGAGCTCATTAGGACATTGCAGGCATGTAGTAAGGTGCCAGGATACATGTACCTAGCGCTCGGCGACCCCCTTCAGAAACGCAACTATTATCGCGCTGGCTGGATCAAGTTCAGTGATGATACTGATATGACAGTTGTTATGAGTGAATTGACTGATAAAAAGGTGAAGATTTCGGTTCCGTACCCTGTGACTTTCGTTAACCCGATGCGATAGATCGAAGGCTTCAAGCTTCATGTTGCTCACACTGTTAAGCCCTTTGTAAACAGAATTCGCTATGTCCCAGAAGTCGCCAGTAAGCCAGACCGCATCGAGAAAGACCTTGCGAACGCAAAGCTCTTGGCCTCTATTTTAGAGGAAGAAGCTTCAGCACTTCGCCAGTTTAATCCAGCAGGGCATGAGTCCTCGGCAACCAACGGAGATGCGAAACTCGTGGATGCTGTGATGAGTGATGCACATGCAGACCATGAGGATGATCCGGAACCAAAAGAATCCGGATCTGAGGCTATAGAACGGAGGATAGAAAAGATTATGGCAGACCTTCGTGACCAGGGGGCGGTTGATGAAAAAGTCGTGGAGGCAAAAAAAGTACGTGTGATCTGACGCGCTCTACTCCATTATTACTAACTTTCGCTCTCGGCTTTTTTTAGGCTGTTATTTCCCTGGACTTGTATCTTGCCTACCTTCGGGCAGCGTTTCATGCATGCTACTACTGCGCTGTTGTTACCGATCATCTTGAAGAATTACAGCGTAAGTGCTTGCAGCACGTGAGGAAACCTCTGTCCAAGTCATTACTTGAGGAGGTAAAGGCTGCTGAGGCTGAGAAAGAAAAAAAGGAAAGGGATGATGAGAAAGAAAGTGATGCACCTTTACCCCCTAAGCCAAGCGAGAACAGAGATTGGAAGCGCAATGGTAAGCTTCCAGCATTTATTAAAGTCAGTCTAGCTAATTACGTGGAGCAGATGAGAGATGGTTGGAGTGGTTTGATAGCAAGATTGCGCTACTGATCAATCGCAACGACCTGGACCCGCGTGAATATGGTGGCAAAAGTTACGACGAGTGCGTGCCTCTTTTGGTCTCAGATGATTGGAAATGTCATTCTCGTTGCAGGGAGCTGAGCAAAGCTGTTGAGCAATACATCAAGCAGGAAGATGAGGGCAGGTTCCGGTGTAAGACTTGCCAGAAGCTCTTCAAGGCTACCTCGTTTGTCGAGAAGCATGTCGCGAACAAGCACCCTGAACTCGTGAAGCAGCTCGATGAGGTACGCATGTTTAATCTCGTCTTCTTTCGGCATCTCACGGTCGCCGGATTTTCAGGTCCCTTACTTCAATAACTTCGCGTTGGACCCACATAGAATCCAGCCGTTCACACACCCACCTCCTATTACCGGGAACAGCCAGCCTCCCCCCCAAGCGTTCGGTATTCAAGGACACGCGGTTGTATACCCGCCCCCCGACTTTGGCCGGCCGAATCCTTATCTTACTTATCCTGCTGCGTTCCCTGCGCCACCCTATGGAAACAATGGTCACTGGGATCATTTCGGATATCAATACGGGCCTCCAGGTCTATTTCCTACTCCTCCACCTATCCGAAGGGATGAAGCGACCACCGCTCGCAGGCTCAGTGATCGTATTAGCGGCTATGCCCCCAATCTGGAGCAGCCGATAGAGGTTACAATTCCCGCCAATGCTGGACTTCCCGCTAAGCCACAAGTTACTATGGACCTTGGCCAGCCTGCGGCGGATATTGGCAGGAAAGGTCGCCGAGGAGCCACGAGCTCAGGTCCACCGCCACCTCCGCCACCCGATGCGAAGGAAGATCCCAGAGCTGCTGGGGGCAAGAAAGTCAGCTACCACGACATGGACTCAGTTGCTGAAGGAGATGTCGAGTTGACTTACTGATGTGATGATGATATAACTTCTCTACGCTTCGCAATATATTTTGGTGATTATGTCGCATGTTGGGAAGCGTCTTCCTCAAAGAGCGCCGAGAAGGAACTCGTGTACTGAGTACTAGAGCGTGGCAAGCACTTATAAAATTGAGAGATCGCACAGAAAGCCAAAAAAGGGTCCAGGTCCAGGTGATGCTCAAAAAGGATGGGTGTTGCGGTCAGTGTAGCACTAGCATTCCTTGCCTGTCCCTGGCTTATTAACTCCCTTGTTTTGTAAACTACCTATTTCTGTGTTCTTTCTGCACAATCATTCATTCCAGTTCGAAACTTGGACTACAAGTCGGGTGCTGCCGCACAACTCCTGACTCTACGGTACCGTGATCATCAATGAGTGGGACCAAACCTATTCTTGCCCATCGTCAGCCGGTATCCGTTCTTGTCAATGAAGAAGGACTGATAGCGCCAGAAGCCATTGGCCCGAGCAAGTTTGCGGTAACGTGGTCTGCTGAACCTCCCCCTCCTGTACTTGCACCTCTTGTACAAGTTGCAGAGCGCCAAGTTGTCCTCAGTTCATCTGACGGGGAATCTGATTTTTCAGAGAAAGATCTCTGCTCGTTGGGAGAGAAGCAATTACCTGCCGACCTTTCTGACGAATTTGAAAGTTCGCTGAGTCAACGTTTTCGGCTCCAGCAACTCGCTCCTCACCATCACGATGAAAATCCGATTATTCCACGGCTTTCTCGTGCAACCTCCATGCCTTTGCCATCACAGCTAGAACATCTAAACAATCCTCGCAGGACCGCGTTTACTTCGCCTGAAAAGCCTAGCCAACCCCTCCCCACAGATGCTCCCGTCGAATCCTCTCGGTTCCACGAACTTTCGTTAGAACTCGCGGACTCTGTTCAGATGGTCGTTCAGACGCTTTTACAGGTCTCGCCAACACAAGTCCTTGACCCGGCAAAAGAGCAATTTGCAGCTTGCTCTCTCTCAATCCCCACCGCCTGCATGTCTGCTGTACTCACGACGATGAAAAACCTCAATTACATTTCTGCGAACATGTCAGATCTATGCGCTGATACGTTCAACCCTGCTCATTCCAGCAATTCTACTTCGACAATCCGCCGATTAACTCTGCCTGGACCACCTGTTACTCCAGCCACAGATTTCGATATTGCGGAGATGCTGCAAGGAGTTGGAGATGCATCGAGTGGGAGGGCTGCTGAAGTTGGTGTAGATCTGGTCTTATTCCATAACGATGTTGGGATGAGGCATATTGCGGTCAAGGGGGTAGAGTGTGGAATATCTAATGTGCTAACGCATGTGAGTGGGTGCGTTGCAGTTCAAGTCCGAGTCTCACGACCTACAGGTCGTCCGTCAAATCATCAATATTGCACGTCGCGGTGACTCAATCGATTTGGGCCTTAGTATCGCTTCGTCGAGCTATTTGGGCTCAAATATGTCACCTTCCACAGAGAGACCAAGCGGTATCTCTTCGCCCATCCCCATAGATGAGGATGAGACTTTGCAGTGCACATTCGAAATCCATCACCGTTTTCATTCGCCGGATGTGCCAATGGACGACATGACGCCTACCAATACAAATCTCTCAGACGTTCTAGACCGCCCAGAGCCAAAGTTTGATTCAATGCTGTTCCGAAGGCTACTTCTCCGATGCGGTGCATCGCTTTCATCTGAGGTCCCTGATGAAAAAACGTCAAGAAGGACATACGAAGTCAAGCTTGAACTTCAGCGTGGTTCGCCAGATGCGATTACTGCTAAATCCTCTGCGATATTCGAACAATCTCATGTGCTTCTCAGTGGGGTTCGGTTAGGAATGGAGCCATCTCTTGAAGAGCTTGCTCAATTCGCTGAAACTTTGCGCGGAAAGAAGGTCACCTTGTATGCAAGCTCCGCAAGTTCCTTTGCACACCACCTGACGAGCTATCTCACTGCTTGGGGATTGGATGTCAGTCACGTATCGCCAGACGTTGACGTCGATGGCACACCAGGCGCCAATGAAGCACCTGCCCATCTATGCCGAGAGCGTGGATCACAAGAGCCTCGGACCCCAACTGCGAATGGCACTCCACGTTTAGCTCCATCGCTGTCATTCGTAATGATCGATGACGATGTCTCCGTCCTTCGAGAGAGGTTGCGCAAGTACAGAGCAGAGCAACCAATCCCTCTCAGCCTTCATTCTCGGAAACGACCTTCTCTAGCTGCCCACCACCGCCCAAAGTCGTCACCACAAGTAGCCCGTACTCTTGGCTTCGGATCACAGGCCCCACCGCAACAAACACCTGTAGTAGTCGTTCACTTCACCAGCTTAGCCAATTACAAACTGGTCAAGGAAATCATACAATGCGACCTCGCTTCTCACTCCTATCCAGCATGTCCACCTGAAGTCATGATTATTCCTAAGCCCGCGGGTCCACGCAGGTTTCTTACTGCGCTGCACACTGCTGTTACTAAGCCTATCGTCGATCCATTCTTCTCCCCAATTGCTACCTCACCACTCAGCCCGGGTTCGCACAGTTCTCCTTTCTTCAATTTAACTCAGACAAGTCCAAAATCCCCTTCTTCTCGCCCATCTAATTCATCGCGGTCTAATTCCGAGCGATCTGCGCGATCTACGAGGGACAGTACAAGTGAACACCATCCACATGCACCTCCATCACCCCTCGGTCTCGCGGATAACATGGAATATTTCCCTGAAACTCAGAGCCCTGTGAGGCTTGGTCAAACGCCATCTTCCGGACTCGTAATTTCGAGCCCCGACGGACAGCCAACAGGCATTATCTTCCAACCGCGTGCAAAATCTAAGCCTATCACACCATCACCCAATAGTGTTACAGGTGTTACAGTCGATCGGGATAAGTCGCAGTTTCTATTAGCCAGTTCCGAACGGCTACGGAGTTCCTCCACCCGCCGTCTATCGGACAGTGAACAGAAGAAGCAAGGTCAATCACCGCTCTCGTTTGCGTCTTTGCACTCCAATGTGTTGGGAAGCGCATCACCCCCTCGGCGAGAAGCATCTCCTATCGAGGGTTTTACCTCAATCTCTACTGCTCCCAAAGTAAAGGGGAAAGGTGCAACCTCCCCTCAGGCAGATGAACTTACCCCTTCATCACCACTATTACCCTCATCTCTTAACGCAAGTGCTGTTGATCTAAGGAAGATTTCTTCCCCTCCCAGTTCTCCAGTCATACCGGAACCCCAGCCCAGTGTGCTCGCGCGAAGACCGGGCAGGCGGGCAAACCATGATGCAAAACCTTCGACACCCCCCACTGCGTTGGGGAAGGCAGGCAAGGGTCAACCTGACGCAAGTATCATACCTCCAATTAGCGTGCTCATCGTTGATGGTATGTGTTTCAAGTCTTATCATAAATCGTGCTAAATCGGTTGGACCAGATAATCCAATCAATCAGACCATTCTGTCAACCTTCATGAGGAGGAAAAAGATCAAATATGATGTGGCCAAAAACGGAGAAGAAGCGGTGCAGAAATGGCAAAATGGTGGTTTTCACTTGATTTTGGTATGATGTTCTCTCGTAGGACAATTGCATAGAGCTGACATGTTATCTCAGATGGACATTCAAATGCCTGTCATGGACGGCATACAAGCGACAAAAGAGATTAGGAGATTGGAGAGTTTGACAGCTTCTTCAGGCTACACTCCAGGCACACCGTTATCTGATACACTTTCAGAGGGAGCGTTCTCCGAGTCTCGTACCTCAGCATCGCCCTACCGTTCTGCCGTCATTATCGTAGCTCTCACGGCCTCATCCCTCCAGAGCGACAGGGTGGCAGCGCTTGCGGCAGGATGCAACGATTTCCTGACCAAGCCTGTGTCCTTGGAGTGGCTCAACAACAAGATTATCGAGTGGGGGTCGATCAAGGCTTTGCAGATGTGGGCTGACCTGCGGCCGGAGGTGGTGAAAACCATCTCGACTGAGCAGACGGCTCAAGCCCAACTTGTGGCTCGTCGACTTCACGTTCCCGAGGGCCGAACAACGCCAGTTGGCTCTGTAAGCAGATCGTCATCAAAAGCCAGAGGGGACAAACGCGATCCCCCTGTTGAACCTGGTTCTGAGCCTACTACTAAACTCGCGGACCCGAAAGGAGAGGACAAGCCAACCTCGAAACTGGCAAATGACTTGCCCGATAACGATTCCCCCGGATCATCGCCTTCTTCTGAATCTTCTGATTCGTTTGAGCAATCTGGTGAGCTCAATCTTCTATTTCTGCCTTTCTTTCACTTAGATCGGCGATTTCAGGAGAGAATTCCGCATCACTCCCTGGTGCGCTGGCTGAGACATATTTGAAAAATCAACATTAATTATTCTCTAGCCGCTCATAATAATGATACGGATGATGCGGTCACCCAATCTGAATCTACGACTGCCAAGGATGAGCACACGCCGACAGGTATTTTGTTCCCACCTGGAATGACGCTGGATTTGGCTTAACATATCTCACAAGATGGAGAGGAATGCCATGAAAGCTCATCGGAAACATCTTATGCGACTGCAAGTGAAACGTCAACAAATGCTTCTGAATTTCAAGATGCGCCAACATCACCTCAATGACGACGTTGGGCGACCTTTGGAAGTTTTGCGAGGCTGGCCGCGCCTATGGTCTTACCATTGTATCTGAAGGTTGCCGCGTTCTTTCGCAAATATTTTTAATGCCTACCCTGTCAGTTTTTTTTTCTTTTTCGTTTGTGTTGATCACTAGTTTTTATCCTGGGTTTTATGGGGTTATTTTCGACTCTAGCAAGGAACCATAGCTCTTGGTCACGATTACTGGGTTATAGTAGGGGTATGAAATGTGGCTAGAAATAATCTTCTCACCATCTGGCAATAGAGTGATTCGGAAGATGCCCGATCGAATTTGACAATTAGTTGCGGGAATTGCGTGAAGAGTGCTTGGCAACATGGCTTTTTACACAATGTGGTTAACCGACTAGGTTCGCGGAAGAGTCAGTCATGAGATAAATTTCCTATACGCAGACTATTTTCCGTAAAATTTGATGCGACCTTCAGTTGTAAACCAAGAGTCAGTCTTGTTCGGCTTCTCGCGGTCCTTTTAAGTTTTACGGAGAAATCAGCCTAAACATACCTATTTGCGGCATTCGCCGTACCGGGGCTCCGCGTGGCCGAGAGGATTTGGGTGAGGTCTCCCAACACCTCATTTCTCTACACCAAAGTCCGTCTTTTTTACAAGTGGATTCGTTCTTTTCCCAGTTCTTAATTTTCTTCTCATCGTTGGCTTCAACGATGAATACTATGCACGACTCCCACAAGAGGACTTCTATCAGTCAACTCCTCAATCCATCATCCGACTCCTCAGTCTACTCCCATGCTACTCATCTTCCATCGCCTGTCGCTGTTTCTCAGTACCAACACCCTCCACATCAGCAACAGCCAAACTATAATCAGCCAATAGACTCTGCTTCATCTTTTCATCTCAGAGCAGCAAGCTGGGAGCCCAGTGACGACCAGTCCGTACCTAAACGTAGAATTGACAACGGACCGGCTTTAGCTCGACCATATCCATTGCCACCCCACCATCATATGCATACCGAACCTAATGGTGACATGGTACCTCGCCAGGGTAGATCAAGGATGGATGACGCTGCAAACTACGCAATGCCAACTAATTCTTGGCCATCTCAAGCAGATATGTCAAATCCTTCCTATGGATCTCCCATCGTCGCCCCAATGTATTCAGACGAGCGAACAGGTAAGTAGGCATCCGAGGTGCACCTGAATTCTCATTCAAGCCCTTTGTCCACCCCAGCCTTATCGGGCGACTATCCACCAAACAGTCAGCTCATTATCCGTTGACTCACATGACTGCGCCACTGACTTTACTTTCAGCTCAGTTCCATCCCGCGCAAAACTTTCATCCTCAACAACTACCACCAGGACATCCTGCTTCATGTAACTATCATCTCTTGATCGTCCCTATTCCCGTTTTCTCAATTTGCCACGATCCTAAGCCTTGCAGCATGCTGAAAGAGCTTCTGTTCGTATAGCCGCCCGCTTTACGGCGCCCTTACCAGGGCAACCGATTTATGAGATGGCTCCAATGCATCCACCAGCAGGAATTTTCTTGTATCACGCGCCTCCCCTTCCCCCACAAAAGCGTCCTTCAACTGAAGATGACCAGGCACCGAAGACTAAGAAGGCGAAAACTAAAGCGAAGACTACAGAGGGAAATGGTACACTTACGTTGCATTTCGCGTGGTATTTTACATGGTGGCTGATGATATATCCAAGGTTCATCCAAGCGGGGTTATAACGCTAAGAAGCGCAGCGAAGCTGCACAGATTGCAGCCCAAAATGGTCAGTTGATGCATGGCGAAACCACGGTTGCTAACTGTCCTTCAGCCCAGTTGATGCCAACTGTTTCTTACGCGTCGACCCCTACCGACAAGGGCAAAGAGAAAACAGCAGAATGTAAGCTGTTATTCCTGCCGGCATCTGATGATTTTTGACGTTCAAAAGCTCCAATGCGCATGGTGACGGGCGACCACGGACAAAACAGCGACGCTTCAGCTCAGCTGCACCCCGAATTACAATTTGCTCGGTGCATGTCAAATCGATATAGATCTGAACAGTTCCCACGCTGTGTGTCGTGCACACGTCGCTGGGCCGGTGACACATGCAGATTCCAAGGCATACGGTTTTTCTTGAAAGACAATCAGAGAAATATTGTTGGTGTCAGCTTCGTTGAGAATCAGCGACCTGATGCGCCAAACATGAGTTTCCCCGTGAGCTGGAATGTCTCGCTGACGCCCACCCATATACGGCGAACGAAAGTGAGAAATAATCTGTTCTGAGTTCTGGCGAGATGTCGAGTCTGACCATTTGAGTGATTAGAGGACGATAGCTCAGGCTCTTCTCCCAACACTTCGTCAGGAGCTGCAACACTTGAACTACCCGGAAATCATCCGGAGGACCCGAGAAAGCGAAGTGCGCGCCACTTGTGGTCAGTGTCACGCGGCCTTTTATTTTCCTGTTTATTAATGATGTTTAATCACAGATACTTGCATGACATCGATTTTCTCTAGCAGTTGGATGTGCCGATTGTGTGGCAGAGAAGCATGTGCTGAATGTTTTGAACAAGTGAAAGATCTCACCGAAGATAAACCTGGTGCAGGCCAGGCTGAAATTGCTGCACTCCAGGCCCGCCGAGAAAAACATGCTCACAGCAACCCATTTTTCTTGTCTTGTACGCGGCGGAACGAGCATCACGCAAAGGACTTTTCACCGATGTCGCGCTTTTGTAAAGCCGAGCTTGCACAGGCGATTAAGGATATGGAAGCTATTCTTCTGGAGCCGGATAATGATGCACTCCCTGACGCCGGACCAGTAGATCCATTACAGGCAAACGGGGGCACTCTATCCTCTGCCCAGGTTTCAAATCCGCAAATTGGCGGCGAGGCATCGATGCCAGAGCCGTCAATCTCCTCTGTTCCCCAACACGGCCTATCACAAGACGGTGTTTTCCACCCGGAATCAGCGCCAGCAATTGCATCATCTGCTTCACAGTTCGCCGAGCCACCGCTGTCAGCCTCCGTAGTGCCACCGTCTGATGATCAGAATTCTGCTCCGTCAAGCGATATACCTTCACATCCGACCACTACCATCTCTGACTCGCAGCTTACAGAGGACGTTTTCCGCCCCTTGTGGGCTAAAGGAGAACCAATTGTGGTCACCGAGTTGCTGCCCAAGTTCCAGATTCAGTGGACGCCTGAGTACTTCGTACAGAAGTACACCTCTCAGAGCTGCCTCATTTTGGAGTGCCAAAGCGATGTGAATAAACGTGTGACGGTAGGCGAGTTCTTCTCGTGGTTTGGAAAATATGAAGGGCGGGTGGAGTGCTGGAAGCTCAAGGTGCGTTCATTATGAGTGTGATTCTTGACACATGCTTAGTGTACATCTCTAGGATTGGCCACCATCGACAGATTTCAAAACTGCATTTCCTGAACTTTTTGAGGATTTCAGTCGGGCTGTACCTGTGCCCAATTATGTTCGTCGAGATGGAGCCCTCAATATTGCCTCACATTTCCCCAGCAATACAGTTGCACCGGATTTAGGTAAGCATCACAGTGACCACGAATAGAGATCGGCTAATTATTGAGCTTTATTGCAGGACCTAAGATGTACAATGCGATGTCGTCTTTCGAGTCGGCAGGCAGCAAGGGGTCAACGAGACTTCACATGGACATGGCTGATGCCGTAAACATTATGACTTATGCGTCTACTACACCAGACGGTAAACCAGGATGTGCAGCATGGGACCTCTTCCGTGCGCAAGATGCAGAGAAACTGCGTACTTTCCTCCGAAGGAAGTTTAAGGGCACATATCAACACGACCCGATCCACTCCCAACAGTTTTACCTAGATAGTCAGCTACGGAAAGAGCTGTATGATGTGCATGGCATCAAGAGTCATCGGGTATATCAGAGACCAGGAGAAGCCATATTCATTCCAGCCGGTTGCGCTCATCAGGTTCGTCATGTACCTCTTTGCTGTGCTTTGACGCTCATGTCCTAATTTGCAATGCAGGTATGCAATCTCGCGGACTGTATCAAAGTCGCAGTCGATTTCGTCAGTCCCGAGAACATTGCGCGCTGTGAGAAATTAACACGCGAATTCCGAGAGCAAAACCAGTCCATGGCGTGGAAGGAGGACGTTCTTCAACTTCGTACTATGATGTGGTTTGCATGGCTTTCGTGCTGTCGGCAAGAGAAAGAGATGAACGAGCCTTGAGGCACATGTGGACGTTCTATTCGTTGTGGCGGTTGCGATATTTTGTATGATAGAGGGGTTTAGTATTGTATGGGGAAACCCAATTAATCGGCCAACCTGCAATGTGTGCTTTCTACTTTTTTCATTTGCTTTCCTGTACATGCATAATTTTAGTCCTTTCATGCTTATCTGCCACTCGTTTTTGAACTCCGACCACCAAAGCGGCAGGCGGTTATTTGGTTCCAAGGGATTTGCCAAACAAAGCTGTATACTACATGCCACCTATCGTCAACATTCATCTTGGTCACACATCATGCCAAATCTCCGATCTCGAATGGAACGTCTTTTGTGCTCAAAAACCAGAAACCTTCACTGCTGTGGAAGCTGGCCAACGTGGCAGCGGAAGGTGGCTCGTTATTTCTAACAACCAAGCGTATGAAATGCATCAACCCGCTGACTCTCCAAGCTCGCTTTTCCTCACCTCTTCACGATCATACTGGTACTTGCAACCTAGACACCATTTCTTTGGCTAGTGACTATGCTGCTAAGAAATTCTCATGGTACATTTCGCCCGGAAGGTTCATGAACTCTGTTAAGTCCAAATCAAGTTTTACCCCTCAAACATGGACGCCACCGAGGCCGACAGACACGTCGACTGATGAGCAATCATCAAAATATTCAGTCACCTGGCATCTTCGGGGTATTAGAATCACGAGACCAACATTGAATCCACGCCTACAGTCTTATTTCCGCAGCATGCAACACGTTATGATTCGGACATGCCATCACTCGTCAATTCACAATGAAGCCTGCTCGATCATAAACGCCGGATTCGGTGGTCAACCAGGATTATTAGCTGAGGGATTATTCATCGCCAGAACTGCTCGACTGCGGTACATCCGGACTGTGGCACTGCTCATACACGATGTTCTCATAGAACTTAATATGTCGAACTGGGGTGCCATCCACGCTGTGAGAGTGCACCTCAAAGAATTTGCGACGTCGACTTTACGCAAGATTTTTTATGATGTATGTCGATCTCTCTCTCATGTCTAAATTTTAATATACCAAACCACTTGATAGTTTTTGGGGGATTTCAGGTTTAAATTTAATGCGACTGGTTTGGAGAAAGCTGACGATACCCTTGAAGCTCTCCGAAACCAACAGTTCAACGCGGTAGCTTTATATGGCGATCTTGTTGCGTTTGGCATCATCCCTCCCAGTCTACTTGTTTTCGTCATGGATGACTTCTTGAATTGTATATCATCGATATCCCAGTATCGCATCATTTATCTCCTGGTGCTCCGAGCAACATCCCAGAACGTGTCCCCTATACATCCAAATCGTTTGCTTGGCTGGCGCCAAAGGTTGCTCTATCCAATGCGAATCACGCTGCGTCTGGACGACAAAATGGTCCAGAGGTGGATTATCGTAAGTAGCTGTACAGTCTACCGCATTGCGTGATGTTAATTGACGTCATGTCCTCGTTGCTGTAATCCAGGAGATCTCCAACTTGATTGATAAAGCTACCATCCAAAACCAAACAACCGTGCAATAGTCCGATGCTACCAATCCACCAGTCGCAAATCATGTCTGGGATACGCAGCTCACCAGACAGGGTCTGCACGATTTAATTCGAAGTCAATTTCAGAGGGCGCAGGTGCTTAGCTAAGGCTACGTATGTTACCAGCGAAAACCGGACAGTGCTGGAGAAACGTGGGTCACCTGCCGTGTGTTTCATATGGTCTCTGATGAGACAACCTAATTGACGTATCTTCTTCCGAGTCGTGTTGTAATTCTCCTGGCTGCACCTGCTATTATCATTACATTTGGGGATATCCGTGGGCAATCAAATCCGTGAATTTGCGGAACATGTTTTCCCCCATCTTAATACGCTGAACTCGTTAGCTGAGATCAATGAGGCTCTCACTGCAATCATCAGAGGCCTGACGCCGTTGAACAGGGTGTACAGGCTGGCCAAGCTGCCACAAATAAGAGACTCGACGCTGTTGAACAGGAGTTGCAAGGGGGGTTCGAGCTCTACGGAACAAGCAGGAACAATTACAACAGGGGTTCAAAGGGTTGCAGGATAAGGTGCAGAATATTGGGAGGACGATTGTGACAATGTAAGTATATGTGTCTGCCAGCCTCACTTTTGCTGATCTCTTACAGGAACGAGATGTTCGTCTCGAGAGCGAGGAATGTAATACTTTCACTCGGGGCACCGCTTACCTGGCCGCAAAGCGTTGAAGCTAACCTTCCTGTTTGCTTCCCAACAACTCCTCTCGAATTATAACAGATGTCGAGTAAGTTTGTTCCACTTTTCAAGGTGCCCATCTCAGTGTTTGTGCCCACAGCTCAGATGTGCGATGGTATTTATGTAGCACTGGGTCTGCCTGCTCTCCATCATGATCCCTGCACGTCAGTTGTGCAACAGCATGGACGGGTGATGACGCACTTTGGCTGCTTGCAGCTCAGGGCCTCTTCTATCGATGTTGAACGATGAGTCAATCGTGTTAGATGTGTTGTACCGCCACTATTGACAACCTTGTCATACCACAGACATTCCAGATAATTATATACTCGCACAGCCATGGTCAATCAATTTTGGCAGAGATTCTGTTATAGGCCTGTTCCATCCTTCACGATCATCCCTTATGCATCTCGTCTCTCTCTTGAAACCCGCGACCTCCGAGTCGTTACTGCGCATATATCATACTTCGCTGTAAATATGGCGCTCACACACGACCGTCTGTTTCATCGATACTCAATCGGGGGCGATCGGAGAATCGACGTCTGTCGGAAAGCAATGCATTTGGAACGTGATTTTTATCCCGGTCTGATCAGGTCTTCGTTGTTCGCGTGTATAACAGTCGTCATCATCTTCCGTAGCCCGTTACACCATGGTGATGGCTTGAAACTCGATTTCGAATCACATTAGGGGTGGAGTCGCGTACTTGAAGCTGTTGTTCATATTGCTTAACCAAGAGTCAGAGTTGAACACATCTTGGGTATAGCGTTGCTGAGGACATAGACACGCTTCCAGATCACGCAGGGTATCATGGTCAACACCAAGGTCCAAGGATAGAACGGTTTCAGTGTATGACAATTTAGTACTAAGTTTTAGCGCAGAGATCTCATCAGAAAAATTGTCCATCAGCTACGTTAACTTATCTACCGAGATCTCAATATTTGACGATTGCTCCAAGGTTAAATTGACCGTCTCTCTAGAAGTAGTCCTGGAAATAAATATAAAGTTCGAACAAGGAGAGCCAAATACAACGCAGGAAACAGCATGAAAATTGTATGTCTCGTTCAACGGCAGTGTGCAAACGTGAATGCATCGCCAGCCTGACGTAGATATAGCCTCTTTGTTTAAAAAGAGAAATAAATAAACTCTCTTTAGAAGAGCAAAGCAAGTACCTCACGAGAGGGGTACCGAAGACCCAGCATAAACGCAGTCCATCTTCACATCCGGCAGCGGATGATCGCTTGTCCCTTTTTAAAAATGTCAATGAAGCATCCCCATGAGTATACAAGTACCCTACCGGCATGACAGTACGGGATTCCATCCTCCTTGTGTCCCCACAACATGACAGGCGACCACTCATCCACGAGGTTGGCAAGCGTCTGGAGGTGACCATATGCAGCCGGCTGAGGACCGTACGGTCGACGCAGTGCTATGAAAGTGAAGAAACTGGCAAATATCAGGAGCGCAATGCATAAGTTCAAGATCTGCATGAATGTGTGAGATTGTTGCAACAGTTTACATGGACAGTAAGTGCGAACCTGGGAAGTGAACATGACTACTGTCACATCGCTCAGGCTCTCAGTAAAAGCCTCAGTCGACTGTGCTGAATGAGAGCCCAAACATCCAGTCTGTGAACCGCCGAGGATAGCGTTCAATAACACAGACAATAAAATACTAGGTGTGAAAGACTCACGCAGGAACGGCTTCGCAATGAAAAGTATGAGACAGATCGGATCAGCGAAAAGCGACTTCAGCGGGTTCGTCGCCACTTGAAGTCCTTTCCTTCCGGTAGCGCATCTCCACCGTTTTTCGTCTCGGATGACATTTGCGATGAGCTCCGAACAATGCAGCCCAAGCGTCAATGGTCCCTGGACTAACATGCGATGATTGACAAAGAGTATAATCCACCACTCAGGTCCGCTATATGGCATACCATATGTGATAGAATTGGAGTTCTCGTTGTGGAAGAACGACCATGTTTGGATCAGCGGGTGAGACTCAACCCTGAGCGGTCCCCGAGATACACGATGAGTGCAGCCCATCCAGCGTATGCTGCAACAAGTGACCCAAAGAAAAATGACAACTTTCCGGATGCTTTGGTGAGCATGCCACGCAGAAGGCTGTGTTTTTGATGGTCGCGCTGGACCTCCAAACATGTCTAGGTCAGACACAGAACTGCATGCATCGGAATGTAGCAGGGGTCAATTGTGTGTGGTGGACCAGTGCAGCGGTTAAGTCGAATGGTGAGGAGCTCCATGTCAATATGTTGACAGCCCGCATCGCTGACAATGCAATCATCACCTGGAGGAGGAGTATGACGCCCAGAATGAGGAGAGGTGACCCTGCGATGGCAACATAGTACACTTCTAGCCAGAGGATGGGATCACCTCCAGCCTCAGGCTCAGGACCAACTTCCATGATCTGGACGTCGAGACATACGATGAGTGAGGGCAAGCTATAGGACATAACGAGGAGGACAGCTGAGATACCGTTGAGAAGGGCGCCATTAGGGTTATGCCATCCACGAGCTGCGGTCAAAAGGCGCAGATTGGTGTTGAAACGAAGCCGAGACTCTGAGGCTAGCGCAGAACGCAATGAGATGCCATGTACAAAGCCTATGGACTCGGTACATAATGTACTATCACCTGATTCGGAATGCACAATCGATGGATAATGCACAATGCACTCCAGAGCTCACCACTCTACATATATTTCATTCGGAACAGCTGGTGGACAATTATTAGCATACATTCAATAATACTACCAATTCAAAATTTTAAAATCGGTGCTGTGAAGCCTTCCCGAGATGAAACATTGTGCGAGTGTGCCCAAAATGAGTGATTTTTGGACACTAAATCCAAGATCCACCCAGATCCCATTAACCTATCAACACAGAAAGTTCAAAATATGTGAAATGCACCATCCTGAATCTACTCCAGGTGTTTCTATGTCAATAGGACACCACCACAGCATGCTATTCGCGATTCATGAGCAAAGCGTGACGGTCAGGCTAGATTGGGAAATCACACTCTCGGCTTGGTTGAGTCTCCGCTTTCTTTGCATTCGGCAGAATCGGCACATACCAGCATCTGTTCCTTTGAAGACACCAGAGGACATTGTTACATTACAAGGACAGTCGACCAATGCCAAGGACAGCTCGAGTTTTTCGCAACCGCCCTTCACCACATTCACAACCTCCTCTCACACGCGAGGATCGTGAAAAACGTATCAAGGATGCAATCGATACATGGCGTGGGGGTGAAACTAAAAGCCTCCTACAAGCAGCCAAGATGCATGGTGTCGAGCACATATATTCCACAGTGCGTAGGAGATGTGAAGGGTTGACTCTGCCACGAGACGAGGCGCATGCAAAACAACGGCACCTTACACCAGCCCAAGGAGTCAAGCGGCACAGCAAATGAACGGTTCTTTACCCTTCCCCTCATTTAATCCACCACCTGCATACCCACTCCATTATCCAGGTCGCGAGACACGATTCATGCAGCCAGTGCCAGCCCCAGAAGGGGCTCGTCCTCTTCGAACTTCACAAGACCTCCCACCACAGCTACATGCTGGGCCGTCCACTGGCAGATACATGCCTTACCCCCTGCATGGCCTTCCTGCACCATTAAATAGAGTTTCAGCAAATAATGATCACTCAGCACATCCTAGTGTTTATTACTAGATATTATTCCCTCAATGAAATTTGATTTGGAGCTCGTTATTGAAGCTTGAAGTTATGAACGGTGCGGAACACTGGACTTTCATTCGCTTTGCACGCTGTCGGACTGTGAATATCATTGTGTATTGGCCGAGGTGCCGCGCATGACATAGTGTGACGAAATTGTGCATTTCTATTGTGTTTTCGACACCTCAACTTCCAGTGCTGCCGCTGCAACAAGCTCGCAACAAAATTAAAAAATTCTTGTTGGGCCTAATGCACAGAGACCTAAAGTATACACTACAGTAGATCCGATACGAATATGTGTTGTTGTTGTGTTGCTATTCAGCAATAAGTGTAAATTGTGCATTTCCCGTCGAATGATAGTACATCAGTAAATGCGAGTTCGCACAAGGGTGTTCAAAAGCGCTCACAAAACGCTCATGTGGATATGCTTTTTAGTTAGCTCAGGTCGCCATCCGTAAACACTCGTTTTTAGTTAAATTAGACACTGGCGACATCCGACGCGAGATCTGTAGTTATCGGTTCGATTATCAAAAAGATTTGTGATCTATTGCATTATCTGTACACTACTGCTATCCTAATCCAAGTCAGATGACGACGAGCTGTTGTCTCGTGTCTGCGATGGTCCAATATCTAATATGTACTGCAGATATTGTTCAAACTCGGCCTTCTCTGCAGGAGTGAGATTATCAATCGCCCTCAGTATTTCTTCGAACTTGGCTTGATGGAATTGTCCACTGAAGGGGTCAACATTCAATCCCTCCCTCCCTTGTTCATGCAACGAGCAGTGGGTAGCTGCGCCTGAAACGGCCATGATATACTTGATGGATTTGAGCAGGGAATCACCTGAGGAACTGACGCGTATCCCCAGTACCAGATGAATCGGATGACATTGCTCATGATGAAACGATTCTGAAATTTTGCGATGACAATTATATTATCATTCTGCGAAAAACATATTCAGTAGAAGTTATATTCGAGGACTGCTCAACGTACCTCGTCAAAATAGAAGTCATGCATGAAGAGTAACGGATCAGGTCCATTTATAAAGCGATTGATCCTGGTAGTCCGATATCGCCCTGGTGGCAAAGAGTGCCCCCACGGGGGGAACAATTGGAATGCATCGCAAACACCCTCACGTGCGAAGTCGACCATTTTACCGCATGTCGCCAATAATGTATTGCTGACTGTCTTACGGTGTGCGTTGGTTATAAACTCCTCGAAAACCTCTGCGAAATTTATTAGAAAATGATATAACAATAGGATACAAAAAGCTCACCATCAGGCCTGAAGAAATTCGGGACAGATTCTTGGATGATCTCATCGATGAATCTTTTCTTTCGTTTTCTAGAGCACGTCATAGCGTGCTTTGAGAATACGAGCCGTGCAGGATCCCTTCCTTTAGCGCTGTTCAGCATCTGTTTAATCACCTCCGGCGTCAAACGAATGCGATTTTTAGGCAGTGATTTCGTCGTTCCGTGTCCGGAGTCACTGGGCGTATCGTGCGGCTCAGCGACAAGACTGGGTTCTTGCACTCCGGTAGCAATAGTGGCTGTTTGTGGTGCGACATACGGTGTTGCAGGCATGTTGGTGTGTCTGAGTGTGCATGTCGTTGTTGTCCTTGCATACTTTAAACCGGGATCAATGAAACAAATAAAAAAACTTACATGTACTACTTCAGAGGTAGGTATTTCCCTGCGATGGATCATTGACAGATCTGAAGCTGGAGGAATCAGACCGTCGCCTCGATCTACGATACTGATACCTCCATCAGGGGCACCCTCGACCCATCGAGACACAGGCGCGATGCCTTGTCGGTAGTTGGAAGGACCTGTGTCGAGTGGGGCATCTCGGACATTGTAGTAGTCCTGTCCATCAGTGTGTGAAGACGTGCCCTGTGAGTCTCCGCAAAATTGCTGCTCCTGCTCCTGCATGTTTCCAAACGACAATGGGCCCTGTGCATCTCCAAACAATGTTGCGCCCTGCGAGTAAAACAATGGCCCCTGCTCCTGCCCATCTCCAAATGATGACGAGCCCTGCTCCTGCCCATCTCCAAATGACAACGGGCCCTGTGCATCTCCGAATGATGTTGCGCCCTGCGAGTAAAACGACGGCCCCTGCTCCTGCCCATCTCCAAACGACGACAGGCCCTGTGAGTAAAATGAAGGTCCCTGCTCCTGCCCGCCTTCAAATGAGCCATACGAATGACTGGCCTTGAGTGTCATCATAGGCCTGTTGCAGCGCACCTGCGTGACTTATTAGCTGATCAGTGGACTTGATCCTCCATGTACTCACCTGGCCACCCTGGTACAGTCTGCTCATAGGGATCAAAATCAAATGCTGACATTTGAGGTCGTTCTGCTGGGGAGATTGAGTTGGTCAGCGACTGGCAAACCAGATGGATTAAGGCCTGATCCCCTGGCTGGCTTAGGGACGACAGCTTTTCCCTTGCGCTGTGAGCCACGTCCACTTGGCCTCCAGGTGGTGGTCAAGAAGAAGGAGGTAAAAATCGCACATGTCGAAGATGATGTGCGCCAGCTTGATTCATTTCCATCTTACATGACGAATAGTAAGACACCAACTTGATACATAGATATACAGACTGGGGAAAATGAAATGCGTGAAGGTCGAAAAAGGAGATTTATAGAAAAAACTACCGGAGGGGTCAAAGTGTGTTGATTGAGTTTGAATGGACGATGGGGAAAAGGAAGTGTTCTAAAAGTAAACTGAATTGAAGGGTAAAGGGCAGTGTTTCAAGAAGGGCGAGAAGCAACATATGAATGGGGCGATCTGAAACGGCGGGCACTTATCTACTGCGATATGGATCAGTGTGAGCAAAACGACCTGACAATGACAAGTACAATTACATACCATGACTCGAAGGGCATAAGTACATATAAGGAAAGATTGGACGTTTGCAACTACCCATTGATTTGATCATCGTCATCATTCATGCTATCGTCTGTACCAGAGGATTTACCGACAAATTGGGGCAAGTGGGAAGACTCTCCCATGGAACCCAATATATCTGCTTGGACACGTGATCCTAAATGCTTTTTGAGAACATCCGCTTGGGCAGCTACAGCCCAAAGTATCTCGCAATCATCGTCATAAATGGCTTGAAGGTAGTTGATATCGTCCTCAAGTTCTTCTTGTGACCGGTCAGAAAAAACGCTTCTGATCCATTTCAACTCTTCATCGCTGGAAAGGAGGCAATCCTTGTTCTCATGATGAAGTCCATTGAGAAACGTTGTGTACCGTTCTGATGCCTCGAGCTCCCATGTCATCATCACAAGACGTTGGCATGCAGCTTCTTGGCCAGTGAGCTTGGATTTGAACAATTCGTACAAAGTTGCAAGGCTCAAGTGTGAGAAGCCTTTGGAAATTGCTTCCTCTCGCTTTTGACCTATGAATTAATCTGCAGAAATATTTAATGATGAGGAACATACCTCATGAATTTCTTCGGCCGTGAATTCTGGTTTAAATCCTTGCCCTGATACACGAGCTGCAAATCGAAGCTCCAGTGGAGCTGGATGGGAAGTGTATGGAATGTTTTTCTTTGACATTCGCTCGATTAGATGCTGACCACGACGGGGAGGAGATACAGAGATTTTGGTGTAAGGCTTTCCAGGCTGCCAGGAAGAAGATTTGAGGCGAGAGTGCGAAGGAGATTTAAGGTGTCTGTACAATATGCTCCGCCTTGCATTCGGAGACTTGGGTACATTATACAATATACTCTGCCTTGCCTCATGGGGTTGAGGCACCTCATCAACTGGGGAGAGGGGAACACTGGGAGAACCTGCATCAGAACCAGAGCCTATGTCAGACTCATCAATGAGGAGAGTTCAATAATTTGTCTTCTTATTAAAATCAAATGAGATTGGTTCAACCCGAGTCGCAGAACTCGAGTTAGTGGGGGCAGGACTGCTTGATCGAGGAGAGAGGCGATAGGAGATGAAGGCGCAAATTCCATCGTCTGCTGGGCAACTTACTACCGCAGGCTGTAGTATGGCGTAGAGATGCGTAGTCTGCAGACTTTGAAAG